TATGATAGCTCCATGCTCACCATAAATCGAGGTTCTTTCAGATTCGATCGTGCGAGAAAGGCAACCTCCATAGTGCCAACCTTGCACCGTTTGAATCAGCATGACTATGCCTGACCCGACATTTCCATTGGCATTTTTGGAGCCGTCAGTGTAAAAGTGATACGCAATTGGTGGCAGAGCTGGCAAGGGTATCAACGCAGTGAAAGCCTCAACAGTCACTGTCGGGATCTCCAAGTCGCAAGGCCAAGCCTGATTGAAGTGATGAGCAAGGTATCGGAATTCATCAGCAAGGCGAAGAACTTCTGAAAAATCAATCTTCACCGTCTGAGGAGGTTCAACAAGGGCATCAAGACAAAGCTCTGTGGCAGGCCGCTGGGTATGAGCTACCTGCCCAGCTGTTTGGCGCCTGTCATTGACGAGCTGGCTTTTGATTTGAAGCATGCTGATAGATGAGGTCGCATCGATTGATGGGGGATCATCTTGTTCATCCCAAGTCCAAGTGGCGTGCTGATTCCAATTGATGATCAGCATAAAGGTCATTCCATGAAGGCAGCGTAATTGCCTCACATCATTGAATTGGATGCCTCTTTGCCACGTGGTGCACACCGTGTAAGGATTTACTGGTGGGCAATCATTGACTCGATGAACAGCTTGCAGCAAAGCAGTCTGGCTCACAGGGTTTGGCAAGATCACAGCCGTAGAGTATGGGATATTATTGAGCACCGTATCATCATACATTGTCACAAGATTCGCCCTTTCATTGGGTTGCAGGCATTGGTGCACAATGACATGAATACGTGATGCATCAAAATCACTTTCGGGGGGATGCCAAGCAATCGCAAAATCAACAGGAACCATTGGCTCGAGAAGGTCCTGCCAGATGCGCTGTAATTGGGTTTCCCAGAGGTGAAAATCATCGCCAAACGTGGCTTGGCGCACTTCATCATTCATGCGGAGTCTGTCTGCATGGAGGCACCAAGTTGACACATGAAGAAGTCGCTCAAGGTTTCCAGGTCCAACCCTAGCATGGACTTCCCAGTGTTCGAAGAGCTCCTGAGTGAACTCAGACTGGTCAGTGAGAATAGGCTGGGCTTCCAATACTGCAGGGTTTGCTTGAGAGCTCATAGTGAACCACTGTGGTGTGACGACTTGATCATCACCAATATGATGGACAATGACTGGTGGGTGAATGCAGAATATCAAACATTGTCCAGATCTGGGATGAACTGGGTCATCTTGCAGGAATACTTGATCCTGAGCTCGTAGTTCAAAATGCCTATCAATGCAAACTCTGCCAAGTCGACAAAGATCTCTCACTCGAAAGGCATTGGTGGGACTGAGCAACGCCGCTGCAGCGTGGTTGATGCCAGTTCTACTGTTGGTGATGAAATTGATGGCGAGAAGCACAGGGACAAAGGGTCTGTCAACGCCTTGATGAAGGATGACATGTCCTATGGTCCAGCTTGTGTCATGTCGCGGAGGATCTGGGTGCACAAAGTCAATGTGTAAAGCTTCGGCCCGATTGATCTTGTCATTCCAAAGCTCAATAAGGTCTTGTCGCCAAAGGTCATGATATTGATCAAGGCGTAGCACACGACTTTCTTCACTTACAGATTCACCTGGTCCACGTAGAAACCATGTGGTGATGAAGGCAATGGGGCCTTCTTCTTCACAAGCTGTGGCCGCTCGATCCTGAAAACTCCTATGCAAAGAACTGTACCATGATGGCCAGTTTTCATCATCAGGTTGAGGGACTTCTCGTGGCTGAAAGGTGTCTGGCGCTTGGGCCGTGAAGTGAGGTGCTGCACAATCTCCAGATTTGTGAAATTCAATGGTGCTCAATTCGCTGGGCAGCAAAGGGTTTTGATACAATTGGAGAAGCGCAGTCGAGTCATGGTCATGTCGTTCGTCTGGATCTCTCTGTGCTGCCTCGACCTCAGAGAAAAGATCGTCCGCATCAGGATTGCGCTGATGGCTGTGAACAATCTGCCGTTGGGTGAGGCCATGTTGACACGCTCGAATGGCATAATAAGTTGAAATATGCTCAGGCTCAAATGGGGGCACTGCAATTCGCAAATAATCACCATGCTGCAAATCAATGGTGTTTGCCTGTTGCATTGGGATCAAAGTTCCTCTGTGCCATACCAGACACCGGTTTTTCCTCATTGCACAGTATTTGGAAACACCAGCAATTCGCAAAAGAAGCGATCTGTGAATTGGCGAGGGAAGCAAGGTAGTATACCTATCGATCTCAATGGTCGACTCAATGGAAGCTCCATGCAATTCAACATCAATGAGAACAGCTTTCCTGTGATCTCCATGAAGAAGATCATCATGCGCCAAGATGAGGAATGGTGAAATGTTGGCATTCTGCAAATCAGAGGGTGGCGGTTGAATGCAGAAAATGTCTGCTACAGAGTGGTGAGTATAACCCAAAAGTCTGCGCAGTTCTGCGAAATTGGCCTCCCTCGGTAAAATTCGCACCCTTCCATGAGCATGATTTGACTTCAGATCATACACTTGTGCAGAAACCCATACATGTTGTTCATCAAACGAACTCGGTGAGGTCGGCATGTGTGTCTCGAGATCAGAGTCAACAAAAGAGCTGGAGCTGCGAGATCGAGCAGCTTGCGGAGCTCTAGCCATCAATGAAACAAAGTCATAATCCTCAACAGGGTCTATCAAAGCTCGTGATTCACCTGCTTCAATCCCAAACGAGTCAGAGTGAGGCTTCAGGATGGGCGGAAAGCAATCATCAAAAACTTCTGCAAAATTTTGAAAAATAACTTTCCTGTGACAATGTTCAAATGTGGCAGCTTCTCGTCGCAAAATCGGGTGTAAGTCATGAGGTTTGGAATATTTGGATGTCCTCAATGGAGAAACAAGACCCCAGCCGAGGATTTCATTTCGTAGGATAGTGGCCTTAGCCAATGCTGAGGATTCACCAAGGAAAGATGGCTCCCAGTGAATACTGTGACATCTAATCATGTAAACCAGGGAATCCTGGGCAAGGTCCGGATTGCATGCTGCACCACAATCTCTGTGAAGGTGATAGGCATCAGCAAACTCGGTCGCCTCTTGATGGTCAATTGGCTCACGTAGTCCATTCCAATCAAACGGACATAGATCTGCGCTGCCACTGATCAGGTAGCAGGCGAGGAGGCCACCGCATCTCCTAAACCACCTGCAGGCACTGAAGGACCTCCGAAGGGTTCCATGGACCTTGGTCTCTTGTATTTGCGGTCCATCTCCTCGTCCGAGGTCACTTCTTGGGGTTCGACATGTGAAGCTGCAGCAATGCTTTGCTGAAGGCTTTCTTGCACCTGTAAAACCAATGCTTGGGCTTCGGCCTCGAACGCTGAGCTGTCCACATCGTTGGGCTCGACATTGGTTTCTCCTGTCTCTGAGGAGATCGGTGCGCCAATAGCAGCAGCTTGCTTGTTCAAGTTCTGGAGGTGTCTGCGCGCACTGGTAAGCTCTTGCTGGGCTTTTTCCAGTTGGCTGCTGTACTCCTTCTGTTGGTCTTTGAACAATTGCAATTGCTTTTGCCAGCTTACAACAGAATCTCTGAGATGTTTGAGCCAGTTCTGCCGATGAACTGTACGAGCATCCTTCACTGTAGCCAGTTGTCTCGCAGCCTTGCCGACCTGCTTCGAGGCCTTGTTCAAGTCCGTGGTCAGGACCTTGGTGGTGGCCTTGTCGGCTTTCTCCACAGCCTTCTGGATGTCTTCCGGGGCTTGTGAAAGATCTGGAAACTGCTTTCTCACTGCATTGAGGAGCTCTGCGTGTGATGCCGCCGTCAGTGATGGTGCCACTGGGGCTTGTGACATCGTAGTGGATGTTTCCGGAGAAGGCCAAGGAGGTATCGATGTGTTGGCCATCTGGCCAGCAAATGGGGAAACTTGGGTTCCTTGTCCAGGTTTGCCTTTGCCACCTCCCTTGGAGCTTCTTCTCTGACTGTCTTCTCGATACTGAGAACTCTGATTTTGGTTTTTCTTCCCTCTTCTCGAAGGGGGACGGTCTTGTGACCAATTCCATGTAGTATACTGATCCCCTGCATACTGTCGGGCACGGGGACTTTTTGGGGCATTGCTGTGAGGAACGCCAGCACTCCAATGGGCGTGGCAGAGAACACAATGTGTATGCCTCTTTCCGTTCAATCGTCCACAGCTGCAATGCCACGGGTATGAGTCCATCTCTGCGGTGATCACTGCAATAAATGTAGGATCTTGTGAGTGATGATGTCTCAAAACTGCCGCAATTCTTGCTCTCTGGGTCGTGGAGAGCTTGATAAGTCCAGTTCGATGCTGATGCCAGAGAGTCCTGGCAAGTGCACGCCTTCTGCGTAGGCGACGCCTCTTGGAATCCGAAAGAAGTGTCGTCTTGAGCAACGAAAAGGAAAAGGACCCAAGTGAAAATGCGCATCAACAATAAAACTAGCCTCCTCACGGTACAGCTAGCAATGAAGTTGTGGCAATTGAGATGTAATCAAATTCCAAAAATCCAGGCAAGGGGAGCGAGATGGGAAATTCAACCAAATAGCAGGCCCAAGCAGGAAGAGGAAAAGAAATATTGTACCAATGCCAAAGAAAAGGAAATGCAGTAGGTCCAGTGAAGTACAGCTAATGCAATCCTGTAAATAAAAGTGTTAGGCACACTTCAGAAGCCAGAAGCCGCGAAGATCCAAATGCCAGAGCCCGAGCTCAATGTCAAAGTCCAGGACCAACGCAGAAGGCACCAGCTAAGGAGGTGAGGGCCAGCACAAGACCCCCAGAGCTCAAGAGCGTAGGCGCCCGCGGTTATGGCAATACCGCTAAGGTCGGGTCAGGGCAACAGCACAAAGCTGGGAGTGCAGCCTGAGCCACAACCTTCATCTATATGTATATATATATTAATACACATGTACGCTGTCTATAAATACGTATATTTAATGTGTAGTACTACCACTCATAGACATCCCCAAAGATGTTGGAAATAGGCCGGCATCAAAACCGAGACACCACCTCCAGCAACGTGTGGCTCAGATAGTTCACCAGCCCAGGATGATGAAAATCATTACCCAAGGGCGGATCCTCGCGGTTTCAGCCGGAAATCTGAGTTCTTTAAGATTGATTGATATGTGATATGTGTATATATATAGTTTTTGGAGCTAAGAATGATGCCACATGTCATGAAAAAAAAACTGCAGCTCCAATTTTTGCAGAGTTCCAAGTCTCCACGCCATCCACTCCCTTTTTTGGTCTTCCCTCCCACAATCCAGGACCTAAATCAACTCGGCCACTCACCAGCCCCTCATACTGTATTTGCTAGGAAACTCCTGCAGCATCTATATAATATGTACATGGATACAGTGTGATACAGTGTGATACAGTAAATCTGTTAAAGCAACATTGGGGTCACCTCAAGCAAAAACCTCTAACACAGGACCCCAAAATTACTAGATCCAGCACTAAACCAGGGTTTCTGAGTGGTGGTCAATATCATGTCGGGGAATTAAATAGAATTAGCTACCCGTTGATAACTATATATAGTAGCCCCCCAAGAACAGTACGTATAAAAAAAAGTCATTTATGGGATACAGGATATGTTTTTACCATATTTTACGTTTCTATTTTTTGTCTACCTGGCCGTTGCATCAACCTCCTCTAGGTCGATTTAGTGGCTCCTTCCAGCCCATCTGCTCCAAGAGCTCTCCACAGACAGAACTGGCACTTCCCATGGCCTGACATGTATCAGCCATACTGATGTAACATGGGGATTCATACTAAATTCATACCCAATCTTTCCCAATCTCATCAATCAAATTGATCATCTGCACCTTGATTTAGCACTGGTGATTTCAGCCCCGCAAAACCACAGAGGATCCCTGGAGAAACGCCTCTTGGTGTTTCTGGATTTCCATGTCGGATTTCCAAGAAATGAATCACTGGATCCCTGGAGAAACGGTGAATTTCTGAAAAATGCAAAGCAACCTCCAAATCCAATGGATGAATCATCACCTTTCCCATTGAAAATAGCCAGTCTGGGGGTATACATTTTTTTGGGACAAAGCCAGGCTGGTGCTTTTAGGAACACTACAGGCACCGGTTCCAGCACCTTCTAAAGGGAAGGGCGGAGCCACCATGGACACAGGAGTCTCAGTTTAAAGGTTGTGGGTTGGATGAGACTGATGTTGCTTTGACATGCTTTGACCGTGTATTTCATCAGGTCGCAAATTTGGATAAATTTGGTACCCAAAGCCCACTGGTGTAAAATAACGTTTTCCCCATCGACATTGCCAAGTTGGTGTCCTTGGACCCCGATTTCTTTGCGGAGTCGTTTCGAAGCTGCTTGGTACCTTTTGTTTTTGCGTTGTTTCACGTGCGGTTCAGAGGAGAGTGGAACTTGTGGCCCCCAGCCATTCTTGCATCTGTGCCTGTAATATCCTGTAGTGCTGTTGGTGCTGCAACAAATCGTGGTTTTGAATCCCCATGCAGATCATGTAGGCTACTGGACCTCCCAAGCCAAAGCTAAGCTCCGGGTGCCAGATGAGGGTATCAAGCTGGCTGAAATGATTAACAAATCATAATCAACAAATTGGAGCAGTGACGAATGTATGAAGACCCAACTTGGCTTGTACCAGGTTCATGCTTTGAAGCCCTCTGAAAACATGAAAGTTGTTTGGGACCAGAAATTCATGATATTTCATGTGTAGGGATGGAAACCGAGCAAATGTTTGAACCCACCAACAGTTTCCTTTCGGTGCTCAGCTTTGATGGTTTCCCTTGGATATGTTTTCTGGTTGGACCAACTGTTGGCGATGTTGAGCCCGTGGATCTGATGCAGCCCTTTTTTTATCTGTCATTAAATGACGGCTTTACATTAAACTAAACGAATCTGAAGCCGTCGATTTCCAAAACAAAAAAAGCCAGGTCTCGCGAATTCAAAAGGGAACTCGTAGCTCCACTTCTGCAGACCTGGCCTCATCTGGCCTCAGCACGTCTTCAGCTCTTGTTCGCAAATCCTGTCATCTTCAAAGCTCCATCTTCCGCTGCCCAATGAGGCTCCTCGAACCTTCGCAGAGAAGCTGTGCGTGCAAAGCCTGTCCCAGGAAACGAAGCGCTTGCCCAGGGCCTCCACTTTGGAGCTCACAGAAAAAGGCCAAGCAAGAAGAGTCCAAGGAGGATTTGAGGCTTTTCATCAAGGGTTCCAATGAATTCGCGCCGCTTCCAGACGGCCCTGGTTGAGAAGGACTTGCCTGAGATTGAGACCCTGATCCCAGCCGCTCACAAGACAGGTGATGTCACGGACCTGATCTTCAAGGACAAAGACACTTCGGTGGTGAGAAGGGCATTTGCCTCGCCATCAGAAAGTTGGAAATATCACCTTCACACTGGCCAAGCAGTCCCGGGCACTGGAAACAAAAGCGGCAACGGGAAGAACATGGCCGGGAAAGGCTGTGAGCGGACTATCGCACCTCTGATCCAATCTCACAGACTCCAAAAATGGATAAAAATGGGAGCTCAACTGTCCTAGTTTCGACATAAGAACTATACAGACTGCTGGCTCAAAGGACGTTTTGTGGAAGTGATTGCAACCTCACCTCATTGCTGCGAATCTTTTGTTGTCGCGTCCTCTCAGAGCTGCTACGAACCGCTGAAACGGTGAAAACAGAGGAGGCTGAAGGAAGGTTCCTTTCAAGAAATATCTGGTGGAAAGAATTTGAACGAAAATTAGAAAAGATCGCCAAAGTAGCTAAAAGCAGGACACTGAAAACTAGATAAAATTAGCAATTGTTCAACAAAAATCTAAGCTCATCATTTGCGGCGGTGTATGTGTTGACCAGTGGTGTTGTTTTTGACAGCCTACCTCCGGAAAACTTCTCACTTCTAATCAAAGATGTTCCAGATAGAAATGGTGAACGTCAAATAATCATTAAATAATCGAGAAACAACATTTCCAAACAAGAGTGAAAAAAAAGCAACATTTGATAGCTAGTTGGAAACATGACTGCGTTCACCAAGTACAAGCCGCGAGAACTTCTGCTCTTTTGAATCGCATTTTGGATCACTCGACTTTTGCAGCAGCTTCAGACCGCGAGAACGTTCACCTGAGCATCCAAGCCATGGTTTGAAAGAAACGAACGCAGACGCAACCGCTGTCATGTCACGAGACCCTTTCGAACATGGGATATTTCAAAGCTTAAACCATTCGTCCTCGGATTGTTAGTACCATTTATATCCATTTATCTCGTCTCAACTCATGGATCAGCCGAATTCCAAACGTCGGAGCTCAAACTCCTGTTGGCGATCCTCCACGAACCTCCTGTGACGCTGTGGCGTCTCTCAGTTTTTTGTGGTCAAAAATTGTAAAAATCGACCACCAAAATCACCAAAATCACCAAAATCCATCGAATTCCAGGGGCCCCACCGGAAGACCTCAATCCTCCGGATAGTACCAGTGGTTGCGCACCCCAGTGGGCACAGCTTCCTCCTGAGTGAACAATCGAACTGGCATTGGAATACAAAGCACAACCGAAAGGTCGTTATAGATGGGAGGACTCTTGGAACATACAGGTCTACTTGAGAATCTTGAAGCACTCTCCAAAAACTGCGGGAGGTTGACTTGATTCTTGACCAAAAAGATCGATAGAAGTTTGGAATGCTAGGTGACCCTATAGCCAGGTGAAAGCTGCCTTCGGCGCAACCCATCGCGCAACCCATCTTCGCGCTGCCAAATCTCATGGTTTCATGATGTTTCATGTTTTTGCGTGGAACGCGAATGAGGTCCGAAGCCATGTTTGAAACTTTTTGCGGGGTACAGATGGTACAGTACATGCTCCTCTTCATGTTCTAAGCATGTCTAAGCCCAATCTTTGTTGTTCCCATCCCTCATAGATTCTCTATGGCATTCACCCATAATGTGCTTCCAGGGCACATGACCCCTAAAGCCCTTGTAGGCTTCAGTGCCATACGCCTTGCCGACAAGAAATGGCGTCATGGGATGTCATTTTACATGTCGTGGGATGTCATGGAATTCCAACGGACCTAAATAAAACAGCTTCGAAACCAACGGTTATAACATGTTATAACGTTATAAATGCTGAATGACCTCAGTGATATGTCATAACTAGTCATAACTGATGGTTATAGTCATATCGAACTCAATCCCATAGCCATAACTATCCCAGTGGCCATGACGGCGTCATGGCCACATCTCAGTACAGTCGGGGGGTAGATCTAATTCCAGAAATCCCAATTGGGGTGACGAATTCTTTTGGCCTTACCTCATGATTGGTTTTACCATGTTTTACCTCATGGTATTGTCAATTCAGCGGCATTTCATCTGTGGCTGCCTGTTCAAGGTGTCCAACAATATGTTCTCTTTATGTTACATATGGGGCTTTCCTAACATGGGGCTCCCAAAAAATGGATGGGCTTGTAATATCCCATCTAGAAATGGATGATTTTGGGGCTTTGGGGTACCTCCTTTTTAGGAAACCTCCATATCACAGTCAGAGCCATGGCATTTGCCAACCCCATTGGCTTCCACCTTCATCCACCGCGCACGTTGCCCCCAGAAGCCGCCCGCCAGGCTCACACCATCGCGCAGCCGAATCCACCTACTGTTTCTATCTGCCAGGCTTGGGACCCAAGAAATGAAAAGAAACTGGGACCGAAACAGAGTTTGAATGGCTTATTGGTGCTTAGTAGGGAATGGGGGAATAGGATGACGGTTCATAGATGTTAACAGTTTTCATGGGTTACTCGGCACTGCTTTGCTGTTCATAGATGTTGCCTCACAGTCCGAGATATGGGTAACTGTACTGCATTCCCTACAACAAGTACCAGTAAAATAGTGAAGATTGGTTCAGAAGAATATATATATTATTTATTATTATTATTAATATCATTATTATTATTAATATTATTATATATATATTATCTTATATATATAATATATTATATGAGTATCACCAGAACTTGCTGGTTCCATGAATTTTACGAATTTGAATCGGAACTCACCGACCAAGTTGGTGGCTCCCACGATCCCGATCCCCAAATGCTGGTGCCCATGGAAAAACAGTGGAAGTTGTGACTCACGGGGATTCCGGTGCCATAGAAAATTCCCCTGCCACTTGAGGTAATTACCTAAAAATAGATCATCAAATGGCAGTGTGTCAAAACCTTGTACCCCTGTAGTTCACATCAAAATAGCTGGGATTTATGGATGTTCATCCCCCTAAAAATGGTATGTATAGGTATTGATTCATAGCCAAATGATTGCTGGCGTCCTCAAATGTTTAAACTACACCCACTAAAGTTGTCCTTTCCGTTTGTCTTCCCTTTCCGCACTTCTTCTCATCCGTGTAGACCAGCTTCACTTCAGAGGCCTCTCAGAGTGGAAAGTATCTTTGGATTAATTGGCCAAGGGTAAAGTGGACTGGTTCAAGAATGCTGCTGTTTAGTTTCAGGATGCGTCAAACAATATATATATATCTTCCACTGTCCATCGGGAGTTCACCTCTCAAAATTTCATGCTTCAGTCCCAAAACTGATGCCATTTTTTTCACGATCCCCTAAAATGGATTCAAATGATTTAAATGTCGCCCAAAATGATGTCGCCAAAACCGGAACCCCAGCCGCCTTGCCAATGGCACCCCCATCCTTCTCCTTTCGAGCTTTCTTCGCATGTGCGTTGCAGCTGAAGTGCACGTAGGTGTGCCTCAGTCTGTCACCCCTCCAGTGATTAAACATGATGGCTTGAAAATTCCAAGTCTTGACAGAACAACGAATGACGACGACCATCTAATGAATCTAATGGATATATTTATGGGGTCCAGATAAGATTGACAATGGGCAGATCTTTCTGTTTGAGGGGCTGTTGGCATATGGATCTGGGTCATTTTCAATGCAAACACCTGCTAAAGATCCACGAAAATAAAATGAATCCGGTAGACTATCCTGGCACGTCAGGCCTATTTTTTTGCTGGTGGGTTTCCCCAAAGCTCTACCATCAGGTCTAGGGGTGCGCACTTGACTTCTTCATGCGGCATCTGATGACCGACAATGATTGCCTGACCAATGGTGGCGTTAGCATAACGAAAATGTGGGAGATTATAAATCATGCAAAATCACACTATTTGACAGGGAATGATGTTAGGTCACTGCCAGTTATACTATATGCATGTCTCAGTCCAACGATGTCCAACCTATATCTGCAAGACGATGATGAGTAGATAGGCAATGTTAGTTACTATCATCTACTGTAAATATATTATAGCTCTGAGTTCTACTCTACACCCCATCATATGGCAATGGTGACTATCTCAACTTGTAAATATACAGCGTGTAGAAATCTATCATAGAGGCATAACAAAGCTATGCACGGAAACCAAACAAATGATCTACATGGAATTCTGGCTCCATATATTATGCAAGAAAAGTCATAGGAGCCTGACCCAAAGGGGACAGTCAACCTTGCCATCACAAAGCATCACTAGAGTCACTAGAGTCTAATCACCACTCAACTTCAACCTCTCCAGAAATGTCCAGAAAGTGTCAGAAAGCACCTCTGGTTTGTACTCATCAGTGGTGAAATACTCCATGACCTCCTCTTCCGTCACCACGTCGTCCTTGTCGGATTCAGAATACGTCGGAATTCGTTGCCCCAAGATGGTGCTTCACTTGTCCCAGAAAATCCCAATGATTTTGACTTTAACATGATGTTAATTGAGCATCGTCACTACTGTGGCGGATAGGTTATATATGACTTTTAGAGTATCATGATAGTTATCATTCATGAACTCTGGTTTATAGATGAGTTATAATCATGAATGATAGTTCATAGATGGTAGATGAGTTTGTAGACCATTACTGTCTTTGACTATGGTCCTATGAGTCCTATGAGTCCTATGGTTTATGGTCGACAGTAATGGTCTAAAATTCTAAAAACTCATCGACACCAATCCTCCAGTTGACCAAGCTGGATCCGTCCTCACCCTCTGGGAAGTTCAGCTTCAGTGTGTGAGACCAATCCTCCAGGGTTGCCTCCTGGACGTGGCGCTTGCGATGCGCTTGGGGATGGTTGGGAGGCGTACACTAGAGGCATCGCTAGATGTAGCACACAGTGTGCGATCATTTCACTGATCATTTAAGTACCCATTGAAATAATGAATAATTATATTACTTTTCTATATTACCCATTTATAATGATATCATTTAAGTAGCCTCCAGAAAGTTGGCATCGCTAAAAAGAAATGGCATCATGATCATCATCATGTGGCAATTTCTCGATCCCCTCAAGGATCCCCATTGCAGTCCTCAATGTGTCTAAATTAAAGATTTGGAAGATCGTTTTTGCGGCTTCCCCATTGTCACTTTGGATTGCCAAGTTAATCAAGTTATGGTCATGAAGACTCAACAAGATACCAGCCAAAATTTAGCTTCTTCCAACCACAACTGTGATTTCCCCCCCAACCAAAAAAAAACAGGGCAACCCTGCAGGGCAAAAGAACAGCCGCTGGACGAAGGCAGGCGTATCCAAGGTCCACCTGTTGTATCCAATTGCTGAGAAAAATCGGGAAAATTCCGAAATATCTGGATGAACTTTGATGAACTTATGTTTTTTGGATGAGAGCATGTTTTTTGGTTGGTAATATCATACTTGATGTCTTGATATCAGGGATTACATTCTATTATGCTTGAATCTTGTTGATAGATATTCCTCTATTTTTTCCCTCAAATGCACTCAAAGAAACCTGAGAGTATGGATGGTTGTCATCGCAAATGGATAAAAATGGATCCCGTATCCCCATGATTGTTGGCACATCTCAAGTGTTTCTGGATGATTTTTCTGAGGCATTTGCCCCACGTGTTGACCTTCAAAAAGTTAAGTACCCTCTGGTAAACGTTTACATAACTATGGAAAGATCCACCATTTTTAATGGGTAAATCCACTATTTCTATGGCCATTTTCAATAGCTATGTAACAAATTACCAGAGGGTAAGAGAAAAAACAATGGAAATTGAATGATCCTTAGGGCATTCCTGGCTCCGCATGTCCCGTTTTTCCGGCTCCGCATGGCTGCCATGGCTCCACCACTCCGGCAGACGTGTAATGCTCACCCTGAGGCACCGGCTTCTTGAAGCGAGCCTCTTGGAATTTGGGGTGACACCTCGGCAGTCCGCCATGCCGTGGTCGCTTGTGGGGGGCAAGCGCCATCCAAGAGCCATCGAGCTCACAATGGAGGTACAACATGTGCCAACTACAACCGACACTGACATTGATTTGGAAATGACATGAAATGACCCAAAAAAAAATCTGCTCTCTCTGGATCTCTCCTCGATGACCATCCCTATCCCCGAAACGCACCTCGCGCCGAAACGCTGGGTCCTCCGGCTTTTTCGGATGGTTTCGGCGGTTCTGTCGACGGTTGCCACCCTGCATGGCCTTGTTGGTGATTTCAGCAGGGCCACGAACTTCGAAACTTCTGACTCCTAGATCTCGTAGAACACTTGCCTTTCCTATCAACATTAATTTTGGCTCCAAACTCGACAGAATTGGATTTCATTACTGTTTGATACTGTTTGCACCTTCTCCTTTTCTACCATGTGTGGATCACTTTTCATCGGACTGGTTCACTGCTGTCCCATGTTCAAGCTTCCCCACCACAGCAGAGGCATCACGGCAACTGCTCCTGTCAGTTCAGTTTCTGGGGTCAAAAATGACCTGTATCTCCCCTAATCTAGGCTGGCAATGAGAACTCTTCCAGTTTTACGGGCAAAGATAGATAGATAGATAGATAGATAAATAGATAGATAGATAGATAAGATAAGATTAGATTAGATTAGATTAGATAAGATTAGATTAGATAAGATTAGATTAGATTAGATTGGATTGGATTGGATTCGATTGGATTCGATTAGATTAGATTTAGATTAGACTAGATAGATAGATAGATTAGATAGATAGATAGATAGATAGATACGTGTATATATATATATATTACGGGCAAATGTATAAATATATATATATATTGTATATACATGGTATTTAATATGATTTAATTATATATATACACATGCAGCAACCCCCAAAAAAATAGAAAAGTAAATTTCTACACTATACTAAAATAGTTATATATAGTATTATATAGTGATAATCTACTTTTCTATCTTCCTAAGGGGATTACTGTACGTATGTGTAATACAATTGCAATACAAATCTTGGCGCCTCAGCTGTGCAACCTCCGCTGCTGCGAAGGCATCACCGGACGAATGCTGTCCTGGTGCCTGTGACATGGGGGGTTGATCATGTTTCAACTTTGCAGAAATTGCTTTCAAGTGGTCAAATGTCAAACAAATGGATAGGATCTGATCAGACAAGAACACGGCGTTTTTGGTGAAGAGAGGAGAAAGATTGCAATCTTTCGGGGAGAGATTTTTCTTGATACCAACTAACTCTGAATTGCCTATTTCCTCTCAGTTTTTTTTCAGAAAATCCTTCCCCCCGAGATGATCCCAGTAGATCATCCCATTTGCAACTCCGAGAATTGGTTGAACGGAAAAGTTACAGGTTTTGTGTTCCATCTCTATTAGAACAACATTGGATTGATGGGGTTCTTCCTCTGGTTTTCCCGAAACGGAAACTGGCATGAAAAATCACCGTTTCCATCATTTCCCCCTCAAAAATAAAATGTGATGAAAAAAATGTTCAGAAGTTCCCAGAACATGTTCTCCCTGAGGTTTCCCGCCATTTTCTCCATTTCTTCCCTAGTGCCCCGCACCTGCCATGCATAGGTGCACAGCGCTAGCACGCCAGCCAAGAGACCGAGCCGACGGACGAAGCGCGGCCTTCACGTCAGGTTGGATCAGATTCTTGGGGGATCATATCTTTGGGGATTTATAGGTTGGTTATGATGTTATGGTCGGTTTATGAAACCTTCAGCAGTTCGATACATCTACCATTTTTTTCCGATTGAATAGGAGTGGTTTCAACCAACTTTGCAAACACCTTCCCATGAAAAATGACGACTCTTTCTACACGGCTTAATTGTGGATTCTCACTACTATGGTGGGTAAAATGAGTCGTTAGATTGTATAGACTTTTAGGCTTCATTTTGATCTATGACGAGGGATTCCAAAATAGAGAGGTTTGATGCAATGGAAACAAATATTGGAAGGTTTAATTGTTCAACACGATGAATTCTCAAGTTGAAATTCAAAACGCAAGCATACATATATTGCTATATATATATATTGATATAAACATATATTGATATATATATATATATACATATATAATATATATATATATATTGCTATATAATATTATTGTTATTATTATATGTATACATATATATATAACCCGTTTCCATATATGCATTGTGTGGTTGGTTGATGTTGTTTAATAACTTCTGGCCAAAGCTCCCTCAATTGGGAGCTCGGAAATCAACTCTCTACGCCACCTCTTTGCGCCACCGCCACCAGGCCTTCTAAACTGTGGCTCCATTGGCCCACCGCCCGTTGGATCAGCGGTACACAGCTTCCAAGCCAAGCGAGGTGCGCGGTGGCCATGTAATGGGGATGCGTAAAAATTGGGGGCACGAATGGAACCATCATCGATTTCAATTTAAGTTATATATGTAGTTACGTATATATAATTAGTGGTTTTTGAAGCATCCCAATTTGCAGGATTTTGCAGGTACATGTGAGCTGTCCTTCACATCCAATCGTAAATGGCTTGATTTGAGGAAGCACCATTTTTGATGATTCAAAAATGCTTTGAATACCAATCCAATAAGACCATTCGATGGATTGGTTTAAGGGAAAATGTTAACCGGAAACCCCCATGATCTTCATGGGAAAATCTTTGGTTTCCGGTTAAGATTATTCCTTCAAACCAACCCAACGAGGCCATCCTCTCGCACCGCACCTTTTTGTTTTTATCAATTTTCAAATGTCCTGCAGCTGAGTTTCAGAAAGGGACGGGTACCGCCAGCGCGCCGGTTCCACCGGCACACGATAATCTTGCCATGACAAAGCTAGTGTCAGCATCATTGAAAATCATAACGTGGTAAACGCAATAGCAACCCATGAACAGTTTACGCAATATTCGGATACCCAAAAATTGGAGGTTGAACGGTTGCGTAAACACGACAACAAAAACTGCAACTCGCGATACTTTAAACAAACCATTTCTTGTAAATTTGGGGGTGATGTGTGTGAGTCTGTGTTTGTCACGTTATACCGTTATACCTAATATTTCACATAGTAATCCATGAACCATCCAATCCAATTTTATGCAGTCAACTAATTGATGAACAATGTAAATGGCGTGTCAACCGTATCAAGTATCCCTTCCAACGCATGGAGCTAGTTCTATTGCCTTCAAACCTGTCACTCTCAAAATACAAACCCAAATCATTAGGATGAGTTTGTCGTGAAAATCCGTAAAGACCATATTCTTTCTCATCATATGTGCCATTTTCAAGACTTTGTGACTTTGGCTTGTAGTCTTCCATCCCAGCGTGGAAATGCAAACATATGCAAACATCATGGGTATCTAAATCATTCTAAATCCCTATGGATACATCACGATCATCATGGCTATCTAAATCAACATTGGATTGATGACCATCCCCTTTTATGGGCAACTTGCCAAGTTTTGTCCATGCCACATCTTGGGGTCGAAATATGCTGAAATATGCTGAAATGACGATTGATCGGCACCATCCATCTGTCGAAACTCCTCTGCCGGGTCAACACCAAAAAATGCCCGGCACTCGGCCGGTCCCCTCAAAGGGCAACGCTTCCCAGTGACAGCGTGACTGATGAAATACTGTCACTAGATCAGTCTTGATAATATATGGACAAGTAGATTAATATGGGTTTAGATCACTGGTTTAATACTTTATCAATATAAACCCTAAATATGATCAGATAGCATGGACAAGTTTAGATAGCCCAAGTGAGTGAAACCGATTAATCTGTGGGGTTCTCAATATTGGACCCTCAAACTGTTTTCCCATTAAGAATGACAATATGGGTGTGTCTGAAAATAGTGTACCCCTAAACCCAATGGTTTTGCTGATCATTATCCCTATTAAATGGCTATTTCATTGGGAATATACCCTATTTTCAGACAAACCCATATCAAAATTACCATTTAAGTGGATGATTTTCGGGTGACAACGCCCCACAAGTAGGTGAGGCATCCGTGATTCACAGTTTCTAGCAGCTTCGCATAGCAGAATTCCTGTTAAATCATCATTGCAATCCGTGGCAAACCACACATACGAGTACATATGGAACTTAACATATAAATTACACTTATAGATACTTATAGATATTCATCCCCAACTCATTGGGTCAATATCTTGTAAAATAAACAAATGGACCGTTTTTCGTTGGTTGCCTGGAGTAAAATCCATGGTCAATATCTTGTGGGATGAGAGTCACGCCCTTAGAAAGGCCTTCGGCCACAAAGTCCCGAAGTGCCCCAGACAAAATCATCTGGGTGCACCAACTGTGGAACGTGCTCCGGCCGCGATGCGACAACAGGGCGGACATTTATGGACATGTTACATTTGTTACTGTGGAACTGGTGGAACTCATGCCTTCAAATGGCTCCAACACTGTAACACTCACTCTGATCACTCTGATTTTGAGGATTTTTGAGGTGAACAACTGAGAATCATTGAGAATCAATAGGTAAATCTGACGAGTCTGACGTATCCTTGCAACACCCTTGGCCTTGGGGCCATCGCAAGCATCGCCCGGCTCGCGGCCAAGGAGACACATTGGAGAATTAAATGGCTCAACAGCACTGCAATTAAAGCGTATTATTAGGCGAATCTCGCACAAGAGATTTGAATGATAATGAGATTTGGTTCATCACACATGTGGTGCGGCACTCAGCTGATCAACCGACACAAGTCCAAAAAATGGCGCATGGCTAAAAACTCATGTGGCAGTGTATCAAAACCTTGTACCCCTGTAGTTCACATCAAAATAGCTGGTAGATGGATGTTCATCCCCCTAAAAATGGTATTAATAGGTATTGATCCATACCCATGTATCACCGAAAGAGCGACTTTGAGTCTCTTCCAGTGCCGCTTCCCAAGGCTGTGTGATGCCAGTGAATTGGGCAACAGAATCCGAATCGATTCCGAAGAGATCTTCCAGGCCGGGCTGCTAAGCCACTTCCAGGCCCCTGAGGTCGGACTTCTCCTCCAGCCTGGCTCTGATCCCATCGCAAGAACTGACCGGACCGTTGTGTTTTTCTATGAACATCCAGGATCTCCAAATGTCAAGTTTCATAATACTGGAATGCCTTCAATGCCTTCAATGCCTTCAATGCCTTCAACAAAGAAGAGATGAAGTCCTAAAAAGAAACACAATAAACACTTCTGTGTTTTCTTCCTTTAAACAACAAACAACGAAGAAAATATGGAAATCCCCACAGTACCCAGCCCCGCCTTTCGCTAGAGCTCCGTGTCCTCCTCCATCGCCTCACGAGGAAAATGCAGGGCGTTCCACCATGGCACTGGATGTAAATAGCTGAAAAATCTGAAAGCATATATGATATACAAGTATGCATATATATATAATATCTATGTATTGATAAATAGTCACATGTGTGTGTATATATATATAATACATATACACATGTGACATGTAATTTGATACATGTTCTGTCGTATAGTTATATTGTATTTTGATATAGTTACTAAGTTATAGTTCAATATAAGGCAAGTATTTACATGGCTCCAAGCAAGTAAAATAAACTCCAGGACCCAGCATGAACTTATTGCGCCTCCTTCAAGGTTTCAAGGTGGCTATCGCTGAAGGACCGTCGCATAGAGGTTCCAATGGGCATGTCATCATCGTCATCCTCCATGTCCTCCACCTGATCGAACTCATGATCATCCATGTCTGGTATATCATGGTATATCCAAGTACCCTCTGGTTATGTCAAAATAGCTATTGAAAATGACCATAAAAATAGTGGATTTTCCCAGCTAGAACATGGTGATTCTCCATAGTTATGTAAACGTTTACCAAAGGGTATATTCCATGATATTCCTAGATTTACTCCCCCAAATTACCCAAATGTATAGGTGGCTTGGAAAATGGATGACATGGGATTTGACTACAAAGGAGTTGCAATCTCTGGGATAGGTCACCCAAGTTTAATGTCTCAACCGACTTGCAAATGAGCGCAGGCCCTCTCCGGCTTGATTGAGGTAAATGCTAATGAGTACCACTGGATTTATGAATTCTCTACTACTAGTAAGATCCATTTGTCAATGTCAATGCCAAACATCAGAAGTTTGACCCCAATGGCTATAAGTTTCTATAAGTTCAAGGCTAAACAACGTTTCGGAACCTTGTGGGCGCGCGCCGACATGTGTGCAAGTGCAAGAGAAGATCTTGCAACGTAACATCACGCGTGTGTGCAAGTGCAAGAGAAGATCTTTCAACGTAACATCACGCGTGTGTGCAAGTGCAAGAGAAGATCTTACAACGTAACATCACGCGTGTGTGCAAGTGCAAGAGAAGATCTTACAACGTAACATCACGCGTGTGTGCAAGTGCAAGAGAAGATCTTACAACGTAACATCACGCGTGTGTGCAAGTGCAAGAGAAGATCTTACAACGTAACATCACGCGTGTGTGAGTGTGCCCTCCCCCACCCCCCCCACCCCCCCTGTTCCCCACCCCAAAAATAATAACATGTCATGCGGGCACAACTTCTAAGTGACGGGCACAACTTCTAAGTGACGGGCACAACTTCTAAGTGACGGGCACAACTTCTAACTGACGGGCACAACTTCTACGTACCACCACGAAACACTGCCCACAGTGAGCGAAATGAAGATAAACGCGCCCTCACAGGCAGTTTTGCGCTCTCCCCCGTGCGCGCCGACAGGGTTCCGGAAGGAACAACAAAGGTTCCTGACACCCTCTTAAGATGTGGAGGTTTCTCTGCAATCAGCCATCCTGCCTGCGTGACTTCCATAAACGTCCTGCGAACCCGCAAGGCTACCTTGTAGTCCAGCACAGGCCGAGTACCTGCTGAAGATGGAAATGGGTCGAAAATGGGGACCCCATTTTCAATGTGGGGCCCCATAGATTCCCGCTACCCTTTCCGTAGAGAAAATCAGCTCGACAGTCGACCACTCAAAATCGGACTGATGAATGGTCGGTGAAAAAGTATGGGCGTTGCTTTGTATACTGTACACATCGTGGAAGCTGGGATGTGCCAAAAATATCCAAAAATGCTGAAAGGTTAAACACCTGGCCCTTGCCCATCGCTCAGAACCAGCGAACCAGGTCCAGCCTTCGTCTTTAGGCAAAGCTTCAAAAAGAATCGAGTCTCCTCGCGCCAGTGGCAGGGCGCCCAAACTTGGGCAGCCCAATTTTAGGGCAGAGGTTCATCCCACCTTATTTTTCCGATCCAAATTGCCACTTAGGACTTAGATGGACTTAGGAGATAACCACTTAACATACCTAACCTATTCTTGGACCCAGCCAGTAAATGCAATGCAGAAGTAACGGGTTTTGGGGCTTAAAAAGTGCTAAAGCCACCAGCAAAATATTGGTTTGTCCGGGGAAAAAAACAGTACCCTAAGAATTGGTATTTCAAAACCCAACCTTACCCATGAAAATCGCCATTCGGGTGGTGTACCACATATTCAGACAGGTCTCAAATATACGGCATGTTGTTGGTTATATTCGATTAAAATCATTTAAAATCCACATCATAGTTGCTTGGATGCAAATTTGGTTGGTGAAATCCCCTGTTTTGTTGGTGAACTCCTCATCTTTGTTGGACAATGTGAGACCAGCTGCGCCTTGCTCGCTGTCATCAGGAGCGGCGGGGCGCTCCGCACTGAAAGCATCACCTTGCGATTCCTGGCGCTTCTTGGGGCTGGCATCCTGAGATACCAACAATAGAAAGGCAGCAACGGCAATGTGGAAACCTACTGAATATAGTAGTTTACACAGTTTACACAACCCATGTCTGGTCAAGTTGCGGATGGTTTCTGGATGTTTGTGGCTTGGGTTTTACCAGATGTGTACCCGATTTAGGGAGGTGAAGATGGCTCCATTCTCCCTGCCTCCTGCATGTAGCACATATCGGTAGGGTAGGCCTGGCAGCACCAATCCACTGGCACAGGTCCAAAACCAAGTAGCCTCTGGTAATTTAACATAGCTATTGAAAATGGCTATTTATAGTGGATTTTCCCATTAAAAATGGTGATTTTCCATAGCTATGTTAGTTTGCCAGAGGGTAGCTGGAAATATCTGGGAATTGATTAGGGTTGCCTATATTTTATCGTACCATAGGTTTTCATCCATCCTCATTTTGGTGAACTTAGTAGCACAGGAAACAAGGAAAAGCTGCTGCATGAATGCACTCGACACCAACAACGCCTGCGGTTGGCTAAAGTCGAAGCCCTGCATGACCTGTCATCACTCGACTAATGTGGGATGGGGAGCCACCTTGATGTGTGCCCTTGGTTCATGCCTCGAATCTACTGTTGAGCCTGGGAATCCCTGGATTTGAGAGGTCCTCTGCAGTAAAGCGGCTACATTCAGTAGAAGGTTTGATGGTTTTGATGGGTTTGATGATTTACATAGCTACCCCCCAGAAATCCAACCAATAGTGAAGCCATAGTGAAGCCATAGTGCTACCTTGGACTCCAGCGTCATCCGAGCTTGGACTCCAGCCTCCACTGGCCACATGGGATAGGTCCAAACAGAACGAAGCTCCCCAAAGCCATGCGCGAACTTGCACGTGGGATCGTTGCATCTCCTGGCAGAGTTTCCAGTCGATTTTCCAGTCGAATAGCTGACCTGAATTTGACCTAGCTGAAACAGATGAACCACAACCTGAGAGGTCCCATGATAAACCATGATAAACCATGATCAACCTGGTTTCAAAGCCTCCAGTAATTTGGTCCTTTGGTGTTGCCCTTGCCCCCCTGTCTCCTGCGGAAGTAGTTGTAGCACATCTTCGTTTTTGCCAAATCTGGCATTGGCATCAACTCCTCCTCACTGTGAGCAAAAGGGCAATCTGCGCCTGGCAGCACAGGTTTTTCGACAGTGTCCTAAAGTTTGAGCAGTCTCCAAGTCATAGAGAAGAGACACTTTTTTGAATACTGATAAGATCATGTTTGCTTCATCGGCCACTCATTTACTACAACAGCCAATAAAATATCCTGGAACAGGTTTCCCAACCGGCTTAAGCTGAATCTACTGCCCACTGTTCATCTGTCAGCCGCGGCCTAGGTCACAGCGATTCTTCTTGTGGTTGACACATCGCTTTGTCTTTCGAAACCTAAGCTATTCAAGCTATTCCATGCGAAATCAACCAAGGATTGACGGTGAAATCAACCGCAAAAACCATGCAAAAACCAGCAAATACTCGGAAAATTGAACTAATTTTCTACGTGGGTGACCGTCCAAGACTCCACTTATAGACTTATGGCGTCCCATAGCGTCCCTATAGCGTCCTAACTGCTTGCCGCTCAGGATGCAGTTGATTTGAGGCTTACTCGTCATTACCCCCATTGAAATCCTCGGGCTATCTCATTCTCCATTCGAAACAAAATACAGTGTGAACGATCCATTTTTGGAGCTCAAGCATTTGGAACCATTCAAAGCAAGATTCTTGAGCTCATCTGAAAATAGGGTACCAAATCCAATGGTTTGTATAGTGTATCATCATTTTCCCTCTACAAATGGTCGTTCATGGAGGCATACCCCAATGAGGCCGGACACAGCATGTGCTCAACCCACCACTGTGCAATTCAATCCATTCACATTCTATATATATTAATGTTCCATTTATATTCTATATTATATAGTCCACTAATATAAGATTCCAGATTCCATGAATATTCCATTAATCTTCTATAAATATTCCACTCATAGTCCATATCCCATTCATATTCCACTGATAGTCCGTTACTAGGATCCAATATGATTACTATTATGAAATCATGAAAAGGGAATATCATTAGTGGAATAACCAATGTTATTAATAGTCATCATATTAATATTCCAATAATTAATATTCCACTACTATTCCATTACTAACGAATTACAAATTATGAATAGTCCATGTTCCATTCACTGGGTAAATTATAGTATTTCACTAACCTGAATTAAGGCCATTTGGGGCTGATTCCCCTTACTAACCATGATTCCAGTGAGGTCGCAGTGAGGTCGTTATAATTTACCCAGATTCATGATTGCGGAGAGTCCAGACCCGACTCACATGTGGAGTCTGGCCGTTATAATTTACCCAGATTCATATGCCATAAACATGTCCTCAACCCAGATCCAATGGGAGCCAAGGAACTGCCCCTTCAGCTGCGGCGACAGCATGGTATTCACTGCATTCACCGCCCACTGTGAAGGCATTGCCTCAGCCGAAATGGAGGACCACTGGTGGTCTCCAGGGGGAATTCCAGGGAGACTGGAAATATATGGTGAAAATGCCATGGGATTTATATGGATAATATATGGAATTTGATGGGATTTCATGGCATTTTATGGGATTTCGGATTTAGTGGAAATGATATGGATAGAAATTGGGATTTAGTAGGATTTAGATGGGATTTAACAATCAACCATGGGGAGTCCGATCCGGTTACCATCCAATCATCAAACATGGCTGGGAAATCCCTGAACTGGGCATTTGAATGGATTGGTGGAGCGGAACATCTTATCGGAAACCATATGATGCGAAATAAAAATGGTTTCTGGTTGAGATGTTCCTTTCCAAAAAATCTAGGATGCTATGCTATGCTATAGAAAATTAAAATTACTCTGTTCAGGAAACTCATGGGGCTGGGAACCCAAGGATGTATGAGTGAAACCCGAACATTGCTCACTATCAACCAATTTCTTCACTTCAAAGGTGGAGTGATATATTTTTCTGTGCGTTTTTCGACTCCCGGATCCCCAGAGTTTGCTGTTTTATATGGTTTTATTGTATTCAACCATACTTGAATTCCAGGTTGCCCAATTTTGACCCGTTATGGGAAAATCTGGGTTAGCTGCTATGGTTAGCTCAGTAAAATGGGGTGTTTTTTTGTCTAGTCCAAGATGTTCATTGCAGGGAAATCATGTGATACCCTCTGGTAAACTGACATAACTATGGAAAATCACCATTTTTGATGAGATTTAATGGAAATTGATAGGGATTTATAGTGATTTAATGGGATCTTATAGTGATTCAATGGGATATTAATGAGATATACCCTCTGGTAAACTGTTACATAACTGATGGGAAAATCACCATTTTCAATGGGAAAACTCACTATTTCTATGGCCATATTCAATAGCTTTTTGTATGTTTACCAGAGGGTAATCCACTTAGCACTTGATCTGGGCTTTTCTGATGATCACCAGTCGCCAGCGGAACCATCCCTTGCCCAGGAGACCAAGAATGGCTCTCCAAGATCAACAGATCATCCACCGCTTTGCTGTGAAGAAACTCCCCAAAAAACAGCAACTGATTTGGTCAGCTATCCGCAGCTCCCAGTTCCTGGGACAAATAACAATACCATCTCTGGTCATTTAACACCGCCATGGAAACTTATCCATGGAAGTGGATGATTTACCTCTTAAACATAGCCATTTAAACATATTTACAGTAAACAAATGGTGACCTGTGTTTTTCACTTTCCATGGCAAACTCTTACCAGAGGCTACATCCCCAAACCCCCCCAACCCTGTCAGCAAACTGTCGGCTCCAGTGGCATTGCGAATCACCACCGCTTGGATGCGATCACCGCTTTGAACCCACTGAGCCGTCAGGGCCTCCGAGTCAGTGGTTCAGCCTATGGTGCCATGCTGTTTGCACCAAAATAGATGGTGTATGCAAATGTATAGAAACCGATGTTAATCCCACTAACAACGACGGTTCCCATGGGTTTGAACCCCTCAAATGGTTTTTCTCGATGGTCGGCCGCTGCTCAAACTTGTTTGCGCCGGGGTTCTGCGATCAACTGCACAGCTCTTCGTTTGGGACTCAAGGAGGTGGCGTTTCCATAAGTTCTGAGCTGAGATTTCCATACATTTCACCCTGTTCTGTGCAGCCAGACATGAATTCTACATGATCACATATAAAGCTTCGGTAAGCATTCCAGATCTTCATGCAAAGTGTTGGACAGGATTTCTCCCACGAACCCCATCTTCACCAGGGCTTCGATTGTCCATCCTTTTCCCCACCGACCCAGCCTTGATCCCCTGCACTTCTGACACCGAGATATCTGCTGGAAGTTGGTACTCCTCAACGCGCCAGGTGGGATTACAGGGTTTTTTCGGGGCAGCCCCGTAGGTACAGCCAATTTCCAGTGTGCATTCTGCGATACTGGGAAAATTGCAAGGCTTGTCTGGGTGACGATTCGAAGGCGTTTGACGCAGCTGCTTCAACAAACCCAACTCGTGAACCTTAGAAGAGTCGTATGAAAAGCCACCATTTACGAGCAAAACGCTCCACAGGCGTTTTGCTTCACTTGTACGTTTCCAGAACAGTTCCTTTAAGGGAATTGAATATCAAACATTCCCAAACATGCTAGTGCTGAATACACCATGTTTCATGATGGATGTCCGGTCCCCACAATCAAAGGTTGCACATTTTTACTGTTTTTTTAAGGAAAACGGTTTTCTTTATCCCAAATACAATTATTTTGCCAGGAGCGCTTTTCTAGTAATTCTATGTGTGGCAGAAATTTATGTGTTTACCCGACCAAACGACGTTTCTTTCCGACCATAATTCTTTGACAAATGTTCAAACTGGGCAAAGGACGTTTTTGCCTGGCAAAAAAAAGGTGGACACAATGAAGTTGTTTCAGTTGTTTCATGTTGTTTCAAACACAGAAATTGTGCGTGGATCTTCCAGGTACCCAGAATGTTTATCCTCTGTATCCTAGTTGTTGGTCAATTCCTCCACCTGTCGCTCCTGACATAGGCAGCAGAAGAGCGAGACCTGAGTCTGTCATAATATGAACGGACCGCCAGCAAGCACTGCGAGAACTTTTTGATACTTTTTGAGTCTGAAAACCTGCCCTTTTTGTGCGAGTTGCCAGCCAATCTTGCTTGGAACCTCTTTCAGAACTTGTTGACATCAACATACATCAGCATTCAAACTGGGATCCTAAACCAAAAACATGTGATGAAAATCTGCTGCCTCCCATCTGATCAAATAAGCAGCGTTCTCTCTATTAAACCTGTCATAAATTGGAGATTGAAGGATAATCCTCATTTTCAGGCACACCATTACATCTCTATCCCATATCATATATAATATATATATACTGTATATTATACATTATATATCATCCCCACAAAATATCACAGGTAAACAAATCATCCCCAGTTCCAACATCTTCCAAGCGGCGAAAACTGGATCAATGAAGTTGATGTTGGCATAGGCGCTGCCATCCGCTTCGGACATGATATGCAGGAAGTCAAAGGATCCTGCCGATGGCGTCAAATTCTGCCTTGATATGCCTTGATATGCCTTGATCATTCCATTCTTGCTGGGTTCAACATGGTTCAACCATGTGCAAGTTCAATGAATGTTCAACCCAAGACTATGAGTCGGGAGGGCTATTGTACTGAAGTTCTTTTGCTCCAGTCAGTATTGATAGTCAAAGAATAGTCCACGCAATATGAATTTCCCATAGAAGAACAATGAAATGCCTTCCATGTTTGATCTGACGGATATTGGATGACAACCTGTCTCCCAAACTTGGCACCATCAAACACAAAGGTATGCCATGGTATTGTATTGTATTGCATGGAGAAGACGTCAACCTGCTCGACAAAGTCGTAGTTAAGACGCCATGAAAGGAAAAACCCGGCATTGCCCGGTCGTGCGGCCAAGGTATACCATCGGAATCCCCTAAATCCACGCCATTCCCTACTACAGCAACTTGAACTTCCGGATGCGTGTCAAAAAAAACTTCACCCCAAATTCGCTATACATTTTCAATACATTTTCATGATATCATCAGCCACTTTTCCTAGGTGTCCTAAGTCATGGAAATTACCCCATCCGTTGCTCCTCCAAGCCCCCAAAGGTCCAACTGCCGGAAGAGTCCCGTGGCGGTGGTATCAGGCGACAGCCCAGACACCCGCACCTGCTGGGGGCCGTGAACTCTCTGGATTTAACGTGTGGACAAAACATGACAAAACAATACGTTGAAAACTCAAACCATTGAAAACATGTGGTTATATAAATGATGTGAAATGATTAGAAACCTATAGAAACCTAACCATTTAAAACTTAGACCCATAATGACCCATATGTTTTTTGTACTGAAAAGAAATGGTTTATAGCCCAAAAATGGGTCCAAACTCCAATGGTCTGAAATCATTGACTCAACTTCGATCAAGGCGCCTCTGACTGTAATGAGAGAAATTGCCATTGACCATGTTTCACCAATAGATCTTGTTTAGATTCTGAAAGAACTTCAGCCATGACCAATTCATTCGACCAAAATCTCTAAGCTTGCCGCGGTGGTGATGCCCAATTCGCTAGAGTCATGGACACCTGACGGGGGCAGCTGGTCCTGTGTGTCCTGTGGACTTCTCTGGACCCAGAAATCCAGCTCTTCGGATAGAATCATCAACAGCAATTGGGGTCATGACATTTTCCAACAAGGATTTTTGACATTAAAAAAACATGATAAACTATGATAAGGATTTTTGACATGATAAAACATGATAAACTATGATAAACTATGATAAACTATGATAAACTATGATAAACTATGATAAACTATGATAAACTATGATAAACTATGATAAACTATGATAAACTATGATAAACTATGATAAACTATGATAAACTATGATAAACTATGATGTGTGTCAGGACTTCTCTGGACCCAGAAATCCAGCTCTTCGGATAGAATCATCAACAGCAATTGGGGTCATGACATTTTCCAACTATCGGATTTTTGACATCAAAAAAAAACATGAGAAATCAACATAAACATGATAAAACATGATAAAACATGATAAACTATGATAAACTATGATAAACTATGATAAACTATGATAAACTATGATAAACTATGATGTGTGTCAGGACTTCTCTGGACCCAGAAATCCAGCTCTTCGGATAGAATCATCAACAGCAATTGGGGTCATGACATTTTCCAACTATCGGATTTTTGACATCAAAAAAAAACATGAGAAATCAACATAAACATGATAAAACATGATAAACTATGATAAACTATGATTCAAATCAGACAGTCCAATGTTTTTTTCACCCAAAAACTGGGGATTTTTCATCCCAAGCTCCACCGTGCCGCCCGGTACGGCCCCGGTACGGCCTAGTTCTTGCAGCTGCTGCGCCAAAGGGACAAATTCGGGTGCCCCAGCGCCCAGGTTGCTGATCACCTGCACGAGTCGGCACTGAAATCATCCAAAATCGCCTTCAAACCAACCAAACACCTCCAATGCTCGCCCACATTAGACATTGTATCATATATTGTATCATATTGTATCTGCAATTTGCATCCAGTCTGTACTACCTGGACGCCAGTCTACTCAGGACTTGCTGGTAGACTACCGTGGAGCTCCGTGGAGCCTCTGTCCTTTTCGCCCAAGGTGCCACCACTTCGGACCATGCCCTTTTCTCTCGCTTCTCAGGTTTGACACCTTCCACCTGCCAAGTTTTCGTGGCTCCGCGTTGAGGTCAGGTTTCAGGTTTGAAATTAAAGTTTTGAAAATACGACATGTATATAATATTATACAATATAGTATAATATAATATAATATAATATAAGATAAGATAAGATAAGAAAAAATAAGAAAATATAAGATAGGATAAGAGATATATATATATATCATATATATATATATGTCATATATATATATATATTGTAAATAATAGATTATATACATGTGGAGTATTGTATTTGCAAGTGTTCAAGCTTGGATTTAAGTCCAGAACAACCACAAAAGCCAGAAAAAACACAAAAGTCACAAAAGCAACAAAAGCCAGAAAAGCCACAAAAGTCACAAAAGCCAAGAATCGAGACTACAAAAAAGGTGACATCAAATTTTCCCATCGACTGAAAGGACATTGCACAGCTCGCACAAGACCGGTCTTCAAGGCTCAGACTTATCGTCAAACTATTGGATGGCTCAACCCATCCAACACTGGCCTTTGGCTTCTCCTGCACAACTTCAGCTTTGGGTTTCTCCATTTCGTCCTGTCGCAACCAGATCCATTTCCATGTGTTTGATGATATTATGAGTCTAAAACATTTGTTTAGGCGCTGAAAAGCACTCAAGCATATATTCTTCACATGAGAAGGCAATATTTGAAGGATTGCAAAAGGATCAACCATGGTTAAGGGGCTAATTCATTCACAAAAAAAACAGAGTAATCCGTTAGTCACACAAATCACTGCCATTTTTGTTGCCCTGCTTCCGACTACTCTAGTAGCATCCTTCCGCTTCATGGCTGGGCCCTCAGTATCCGCTGCGCGAGGCTCTTCAACTTTTGCCTGCAGCAACCATGCTATATGTTGGAAGCAGAAGCAAACGTAAGGATACCAGATTGCACTGGTTGGTGTATCCCGCAATCCCCAATACATTGGGTGGCATCGTCCCCTATCATCATCAATCAACAAGGGTTTTGAACACTGCTCATGTAACGCAAAACTCCTTGAAGTACAATCTAACTGCTTTGCGGAATTTTGATTTATGCACAGCCGTTCCATCCCGCAGCCTTCTTGTTTTCAGATTCACTGGTCTCAGTCGCTGGTGCAGTAGTCTCCTGATCGGATACAGTAGTTGATCTTCGTCGAAGACCGTATACCAAAGGTTCACGTAGGTGGGTGCCCATTTCATTTTATCCCGGATAATTCTAGGGTTCGTACTCCAGCTACCACTTACTTCAAGGAAAAATCCAAGCAAGAATTCCCAGCCAACTCCGTATCGGCTGAAAGAAATGTCTTGAGACTCGGCCTCCACATCATCGTTTTCGGCTTCTTGTGGACCACCTAAACCGCTCAGCGATGCTCAACCAAGCCATCACTGGGAATCAACCGAAGCATACCCTCTATCAAACATCGCCATGGGAAATATGTTTAATATATATTTGGAAATCCACAATTTTCATTTGAAAACGAGGGAAAACCGTTTACACATGTGCAAAAACTTGTTGGAGCGGAGGATAGTGCACCAGTCGGTGGCCTGCTGCAACTTTGGCACGCCTTCACAGCAGTAACGTCACTGACATGTAGTCGTGGACAAAAAAATAAACTGTAAACACCAGCGGACTTTGGTTTAGACAATTTGTTCGGGATTCTAGTCCATCCCAATGTGGTTTTGTCTGAAAATTGGTTACACCAACGTCCCATGGTTTAGAAGATTCAATTTAAAATCATATTCCCCCAAAAATGATTCAATTCATGATCGATATTCAATTTCAATCCATATTACATATTGCCCCATATTCCCCCAACATCCACATATAACCCATATAACCCCAAGGTCCCCTGTCTTATTTAACAATGTTTAGGGCCATAAATTAGTGGCCCATCCCATGACTGTCAAGACCTGCAGCGCCATTGTTTCAGCCAACGCGCCTCGCTTTGGCGGTTTGTTTCCGCTCCTTGCGCTGCGCAGCGGCTTTTTCCTTAGCCTGCGGCTTCGGAATGGGGTGAGCTACCGGTTTTCTTGGGGTTCATGTGTTCATTGCCGTTTTCATGGGAAATATTGCGGCGAAACAACCTCAGAGCCATCAGAACTAATTTTGCACCCCCCTTGGATGAAACACAACATGATACCTTTTGATATCCCAATGCTAATCGCAGGAAGTTTAGAAGGCAAACTTCGGACAATATGGACAGATGAAAAAGCAGAAGTGGGAAGAGGAGTCAGAGAAGAGACAGGAAGAAGGAAGAAGATCGAAGAAGAGAAAGAGTCCGAAGAAAGAAGCTGCAGGCGCACGAAAAGGTAGAAAGTCGCGAAACAGTGTGTCACTGTGTTTTTCCCATGTTCTGTGGCTCTGTAGGGTAGAAAAGTAGGCTCGCTAAAGCGGCGGGTGCGGAGCCATCTGGTCTGATGAGCGATGAAAAATTGCACGCCGTTGTGGCGCGAAGCACATGTCGAAGTCAAAATGCTAAAAATGCGTCAACGTCGGAACACTTTTTGGAAGTTGAGATGTTGAAAAAGTGGACGCCGTTGTGGCGCGAAGCACATTTCGAAGACAACATAGTAAAAGCACCACATGTTCGGACCACTTGAGAGAAATTATGATCTTCAAAAAGTGCACGCCGGTGTGGCGCGAAGCACATTTCGAAATCAAACTGTGCAAAACACACCTGTGGGGGGTACCACTACGTGGCAGGGTGGTTGTGGGCGGGAATCGGTGGCGGTGGTCGATGGCGGTGGTCGGGCGGTGGTCGGTAGACCATGGTATCCCTATCACCCTGAGCATCGAATATGGGTTACAATCAATAAACTTCCTACGTTGTATTTTGGTATTGGTTTGAATGATTTTTATATCCCTTGCATTCAAGGGGACGCCAAGGTCCCCCCTTGGATTAATTTTTGAATGTAAAATCAGGCCATGCTAAGTCTAGGAAACAATCACTGAACATACATGAACATACCTAATTACCTCTTTAAAGCCAAAATTAAACCAACTCAAGGAGGGAGTCCCAGTTGCCCCCCCAAGAAACCAAACCACCAAAATAGACGTGGTTTAATGTTGGCTCCCCTTAAAAAATAAACTCAGGTGCTATCTCCAACAGCTTGAAAGCTTCTGCGTTTTTGCCATAAAAAGTGCTTATGCCATAAAAATTAAGCGCTTATGCCATTAAAAAAATGCTTATGACTTATGCCATAATAAACATCGGATCCCCTTGGAATTTCACAAAACATCTGCATCAGAACCCTCGGAACCTCACAAGCTATCTGCACCGGAACCCTCCAGAACCTCACCACGCATCTTCACCTAGACCGGAAACAACAGGTAGCTGCACCGGAAACTTCCGGAACCTCACCAGATACCTGCACCAAAACCCTCTAGAACCTAACCAAGTATCTGCACCGTAACCCTCCGGAACCTCACCGAGGACGTGCACCGGAGACTTCCGGAACCTCACAAGGTATCTGCACGGGAACCCTCCCGGGAACCGCACAGAACCCTCCGGAGCCTCAGCAGGTCTTCACAGGAACCCTCCGGAACCTCACGAGGAACCCTCCGGAACCTCATGAGGTATCTGAACCAGAACCCTCCGAAACCTTGTCCGGAACCTGGTGTTGAAGCTGCACCGGATCGCACCGGAGCTAATCTGGGCTAAAGATCCCATAGTAAAGTTTTGCTGTTGGGGAACAAGCACATATATCAATGTAGAAAATAAATAAACAGCCAGTGGTTCAGTGGTTCAGTGCCTCAGCCACTGCAGACCTCAGCTTTCTTTCTTTTCATCACTCGCATTTTCCACAACGTTGTTTTGTCTTGCGCATCCCAAGCCTATCTTTTCCTGCATGCCTGTCCATTTCATACTCCATGATACTACGGGTCCATGTTTTGCTAGCGGGCTGTTTACCGTCTCACCGTCTCACAAACATGCTACATGCTTGCACGGGTGTGGTGGGTGGGACGGAACTAACGTTCAAGTAGAATTTGAACACATAAGAAACGCTACGTTACTTAGAAGTTGCACACAGAGCGAATGCTACGTCACTTAGAAGTTGCTCACATAGTTGATGCTACACTACTTGAAGGTACACTTAGAAGTTACACGCCTAGTTTTTGAATGTTTTTGGATACGTTTGAAAGAAAATCACTACCACTCTCTCTAGTTTGCAAAAAGGCAAGCCTGATCCAAAAATCTGGACCTATGTCCTAGAGCTTGGAGATGAGTTCAAACAACTTGTTGGAAACACCTCCAAAGCCCACAAAGATTTGTGACCGACGTGCGAAGCAAAACGGTGAAAACGAATTCGAATCGTTTTAGTACTAAACACATGAGAAGGGTGGTTCACCTCACTTGCAACTAACTCAACTAACCAGATTTTACAACTGATTTTTCCGTGCTGTGCTGCCGTCATGATTTTGCAATATTTGTGGGCCGGTAGTGGGTCCACCCAGGTGTTTTTGACCCCATGCAGCAAATGTCCAAATATTCCCTGCCGATTATCGAATGTCCCATGTCCTCAGAAAAATTAAACCCGGGGTCCCTGAGTACCTGCAGGACATGGTTTAAAATCACTTCCAAAAAACTTCAAAGGGTCCAAGGCCAGCTCTGACCTGAAAATTGCAGATTTAAAGGTGTGCCATCATTCTTTAAGCAAAGAAAAGGCATCCCAAGCCTACCTTTTCTCGCATGCCTGTCCTTTTCATGTGGAATAGTGTGGAATATACTATGGACTACATGATACTATGAAATATACTTTTCACGATAGCTGCAGCATACTGCCAAGAAATCACAAAAGCGTACAAAAGCCAAAAGAACAAGAAGCAAAAACAACAAATGCAAAAAAAAACAAGAAGCTAAGAAGCCGAGAAGACAAAAGTCGCAAAAGCCACGAAAGCAACAAAAGCCAGACAAGCAAAAAAAAAGTCAATAAAAGCCAGAAAAAAACACAAAAGTCACAAAAGCAACAAAAACCGAAAAAGTCACAACAGCTACAAAAGCCACAAAAGCCAAGAAGCCAGACTGGAAAACAAAAAAAAGGCCCTCCAATTTGCCAACAACATCAATCGACTGAAAGGACATTGTACAGCTCACGCAAGACCAGTCTTCAAGACCGGCTCGACCCATCCAACACTGGCCTTTGGCTTCTCCTGCACAACTTCAGCTTTGGGTTTCTCCATTTCGTCCTGTCGCAACCAGATCCATTTCCATGTGTTTGATGATATGACGAGTCTAAAACATTTGTTTAGGCGCTGAAAAGAACTCAGGCATATATTCTTCACATGAGAAGGCAATATTTGAAGGATTTCAAAAGAATCACCCATGGTGAAGGGGATTACTCACCAAAAAGTCAGAGCAATCCGCTAGCCACACAAATCACTGCCATCGTTTTGCCCTGCTTCCGACTGCTCTAGTAGCATCCGTGGCATCCTGAGGGTTCATGTCTGGGCCCTCGGTATCCGCTGCGCGAGGCTCTTCAACTTTTGCCTGCAGCAACCATGCTATATGTTGGAAGCAGAAGCAAACATAGGGATACCAGATTGCACTGGTTGGTGTATCCCGCAATCCCCAATGCATTGGGTGGCATCATCCCCTATCATCATCAACCAACAAGGGTTTGAACACTGCTCAAGTGACTCGAATTCCTTGAAGTACAATCTGACTGCTTTGCGGAATCTTGACTTATGCACAGCCGTTCCATCCCGCAGCCTTCTTGTTTTCAGATTCACTGGTCTCGGTCGCTGGTGCAGTAGTCTCCTGATCGGATACAGTAGTTGGATCTTCGGATATAAAGGTTCACGTAGGTGGGCGCCCATTTCATTTCATCCCGGATAATTCAAGAGGTGTACTCCAGCAACCACTTCCTTCCAGCCAATTCCGTATCGGCTGAAAGAAATGTCTTAAGACTCGGCCTCCACATCATCGTTTTCGGCTTCTTGCGGACCACCTAAACCGCTCAACGATGCTCAACCAAGCCATCACTGTGAATCAACGGAAGCGTACCCTCTATCAAACTCCGTTCGCATTGGGAAATATATGGAAATATGTTTAACATAAACTTGGAAATCAAATGAAATCAACTTTGTTCTTTTGAAAACGTTAGAAAACCCGTCTACACATGGATGCAGAAACTTGTTGCGGCAAAGGTTACAGCACCAGTCGCTGGCCTGCTGCAACTTTGGCACGCCTTCACAGCAGTAACGTCACTGACATGTAGTTGTGGACAAAAAAACGTAAACACCATCGGACTTTGGCTTAGACAATTTGCTCGGGATTCTAGACCACCCCAATTTGGTTTTGTCTGGTTACACTAAAGACCCATGGTTTAGAAGATTCAATTTAAAGTCATATTCTCCCAAAAATGATTCAATTCATGATCCATATTCAATTTTAATCCACATATTGTCCCATATTCCCCCAACATCCACATATAACCCATATACCCCAAAGTCCCCTGTCTTATTTCACAACGTTTAGGGCCATAAAATTGTGGCCCATCCCATGACTTTCAAGGCTTGCGCTGCCGTTGTTTCGGCCAACGTGCCTCGCTTTGGCGGTTTGTTTCCGCTCCTTGCGCTGCGCAGCGGCTTTTTCCTTTGCCTACAAAAAGGGCCATCTGTGGACTGGGGTGAACTACCCAACAATGGGATGAAACCCAACATGATACCTTTACCCTAATGAAACATTAATATCGATATGTTTTTTTTTAGAAAAATATTAAACAAACCCAATGATACCCAACCAGTATTAATGACATGTTATTGTTGTGTCAATCACTGAAACAACAAGTATTAATAGTGGTCAATTTTTGGTTCTGTGTCTTTCTAGTTTTGGTTCTATGATGTTTAAATCGTCATTTTAACTGGAAACAATGGTCTAATGGTCTTGGCCTTGGCCAAACAAAGTTGGGCAAGTGAACTCCCATCATCCAGTGCTGGGAATGCAGTATGTTGGTATGCTGAAGGGGTTCCAATCCTGTGAATGAGAAACACATAAGCATGGTTCTACGACCCACTTCCAAATTCGATAACTCCACTTGAAGGCGTGACTTAGCACAATTTCAACCATCAACAAGGTGTTTATAGATGTTTATAGTATATAGGTCAAAACTCCCTGCTACCCTGTGGTTCACCTGGTGCGGATGTTCATCCCGCAACAGGATTTGGAAAGCGACGTTAGACACTGTTGTCTGTGGCCCACTCAGGCTGAAACATTCAGCTAGGCGGTGTTTCGCTGTGGCGAAGCAAGACTTTTAATTCTGCTTGCTTGGCTCACGTCGAGACTTTTAATTCTCCCCCGATAGCAACCGCGGTAAATATAGAAAAGCGCGAGGGCCGGAAAACACGGGGAGGGTAACATACCACCTCCAATTTTTCTATCTTTAGTATCGTACTGCAAAAATGCGGGGGAACAACAGCAAAGATGCACATCAAGCATTGATGATATGATAATTGTGTGGATTTGTGGAAATAGCATGCCGATATTGAAGATAGAAAAGTGGCCATGCATAAATTGCTGCATACATGCCTACAAAGAGCTTTGCTTGGCAAGATCAGCCTAAGGCATATTTGAAAACTGGCAAAGTTTACCAAAAAGTCAAGAACATGTTGAAAACATGAAGAAAAAACAATGATGAAATGAAGAAATAGGTTGAAAAAACAATGAGAAACAATGGTGAAATGAAGAAACGGGCTGAAACGACGATGAAAAGCCATGCTGACTTGAAGAAGAAAAGCCATGATGACATGAAGAAATGGGCTGAAAGATGGTGAAAATATGATGAAAGGGTTGAACACTGATGAACAACAATGACGAAATGACACAACGGGTTGAAACGATGATGAAATGAAGAGATTGGCTGAAAACATGATGAAAAGCCATGTGAAACACAGAAGCGGGTCGAAAAGATTATGAAATGAAAGCCCGTGACGACAGAAAGAAATTGGTTGAAAGATTGGTGAAAACCAATGATATATAAACTTGATTAAACTTGACAATTGGGTGCGAGAGACAGAAAAGTTGAAGGGCACATTAGTGCTATTCAATCAACGTGCAGTGTACCTGCACTGTGGCAGGGCGATACAAAAGATAGGAAAAGAATGAATAGCATTTGCAAACGGAAAAATCGGCAAAAAATCGGTGCTAGAGACAAAACAGTTGAAGGGCACATGCAATGTTTTTCAATCATCAACTTGCAGCTTGCCAGTACTTTAGCACAGCCATACTAAAGGTAGAAAAGTTCGAACAGCATTTGCAAATGATAAACGAATAGCATTTGCAAATGGTAAATTCGCTACGCGCCACAATGAGAGCCATCTGACACAACCAAAGTTTCGAGAGGGTTGCCCAAGCCAGCTGAAAATGAGCACCGCGCCACAACGAGCGCAATCCGACACACACAAAGTGACGAGAGGGTTGCGCGAGCAAATATTACATATATAGATGTTCACAAATAAAACATTGCGCGCACCACGAAGAATTATGAACAGTTAACATTGAAAAAGTCAAAAAACATCAAAAAACTACGTTTTACCCAGGTCTCAGCCACTTTTTGGCCCAGGTCTACAAAGTGCTGCACCTGCCACGAAAAATGAGCCCGAGGCATCCGAAGTGCTGCGGGTGCCACACGGAATCATCATCATGTTACAAATCAAATTCGACAAAACGCGATCTTCGACCCTTTCAACACGTCGTCCAAGTGAACCAAATACTGCTCCTGCCACGAAAAATCGCCTCCGAAAGCACCTCTCATTTTGATCCATGCCTGCCAACGTTTTAGCAACGTCCACAAAGTGCCACGCCTGCTATGCGGATGAAAAAGTGTTCGATGTCCTGCACCTGTAATGCAAAACGACGTTCCAGACCTCAAAATGTCCTGAAAGTGGCGCGCCTGCCACACAGAATCGACATAGCTCAAAAAACGAGAACAAAAAAACGAGCAAAACGAGCCCTTCGGAAGAGAGACCTCAGGGGACACCATTTCGTGCGAGAATTCCGTCGAAAACAGAAGATGAAGGAACTTTTGTGCTCAAAAATGGCGCACACGTATGATACCACCTCGAATGAACACCGGGCCTTAACACCTACCGTAAGAAAAATGATATTCCAACATCATCAATCAACTGGTCCAGGACATTGTACAGCTCGCACAAGACCAGTCTTCAATTCAAGACCACTTGTCGTCAAACGATTGGACCGTTGGAACTAGTTGGAACCATCCAACTGGCCGCTGGCCTTTGGATTCTCCTGCACAACTTCAGCTTTGGGTTCCTCAATTTCGTCCTGTCGCATCCAGATCCATTTCATGTGTTTGATGATATGAGTCCAAAACAGTTGATTGGGTGCTGAAAAGCAATATGCAAAAGATTGCAAAAGGATCAACCATGGCTAAGGAGACTACTCACAAAAAAGTCAGAGCAATCCGCTAGCCACACAAATCACTGCCATCGTTTTGCCCTGCTTCCGACTGCTCTAGTAGCATCCGTAGCATCCTGAGGGTTCATGTCTGGGCCCTCGGTATCCGCTGCGCGAGGCTCTTCAACTTTTGCCTGCAGCAACATATAGCATGCAACCATGCTATATGTTGGAAGCAGAAGCAAACATAAGGATACCAGATTGCACTGGTTGGTGTATCCCGCAATCCCCCATGCATTGGGTGGCATCGTCCCCCATCATCATCAATCAACAAGGGTTTGAACACTGCTCAAGTAACTCGAAGTCCTTGAAGTACAATCTGCCTGCTTTGCGGAATTTTGATTTATGCACAGCCGTTCCATCCCGCAGCCTTCTTGTTTTCAGATTCACTGGTCTCGGTCGCTGGTGCAGTAGTCTCCTGATCGGATACAGTAGTTGGATCTTCGTCTAAGACCGTATACCAAAGGTTCACGTAGGTGGGTGCCCATTTCATTTCATCCCGGATAATTCAAGGGTTCGTACTCCAGTAATAACCACTTACTTCGAGGAAAAATCCAGGAATTCCCAGCCAACTCGGCCTCGACCTCATCGTTTTCGGCTTCTTGCGGACCACCTTTTTACCGCTCAACGATGCTCAACCAAGCCATCACTGTGAATCAACGGAAGCGTACCCTCTATCAAATTTTGCCTTGGGAAATGTGGTTCATATACTTGGAAATCCACCGTCTACACATGGATGCAAAAACTTGTTAGAGCGGAGGATAGTGCAGCAGTCGCTGGCCTGCTGCAACTTTGGCACGCCTGCATAGCAGCAACGTGACCGACATGTAGTTGTGCGAAAGAATCGCAACCACAGACTTTGGTTTAGGCATGCTTTGGCTGAAATTTGATTGTATATACCCAGCCCCATGGTTCAAAATATTCAATTTATATAGATTCATGGCTCTCCCAGGTTTTAAACATAAGCCAACAGTTGATTTTTAAACATATGGCCATGTTTAAAAAAATCCCCATGGTGGCATTGGCTGCAGGCCGTGCCTCGCTTTGGCGGCTTGCTTCCGCTCCCTGCGCTGCGCGGCGGCCTTCTCCTTAGCCTGGGGCTGTTGAGGGTAGTATAACCCAATAATATATGTAGAATATTGTATATATATATGTATATACACATATACTATGTATACGATTAATACCGGTTATCTTAAATATTATACATATATATATATATATATGTATTGTATGTATTGTATGTATGTGTGCGTGCGTGTGTGTGTGTGCGTGTGTGTGGGTGTGTGCGTGTGTGTGTGTGTGCGTGTGTGCGTGTGTCGATCATTGTTCTGCTTCTCTATGATGTTTTGTTGAATTGTCCAATGTGAGAATCCTTTGTTCTTTTGGATGTGTTGAAGGGTTCCAAGTTTGTAAATGAGATATAAACGTGGTTCTATAACCCACTTCCAAGAGGGATAGCCTGTTACTCAGCACAATGTTCAACCATTCACAAGCTGGTTATGGGTCAAAAATCCGTGCTACCCTGGGGTTCACCTGGTAATTCTGAGCATCTTTTCAGTGGAGCGACCATGGTTCTCGAAGCAATTACATATACCCTGCGGAAATCAAAGATGGCGATTGTAAAATCGCCTATATACAGAGGTTTTAACGGGAATTATCCATACATGGAGGACTTTCTGTTGCCATCTTTGATTACCAGAGGGCCTGAGGGTAAATGGTTTAAAGTTATAAGAGCATTTACCCCAGGTGACTGACTTGACACAGTGAGAATAGGTACTGACTTCTTGCGAACTTGGATAGCGGCAGTTTGTTAGAGTCACAATGCCGGCTGTGATCAAGAAAGTGATGGCAATTTTTGAGCAAGGCATTTCAATTGTCTTTTCCGGGATGGCTTTGATAAAGAATGCCCGTTGCATCAAAGCATCACACGCAAGAAACACTTGGTTTCAGCATAGCACTTGAAGGTCTGAGGAGTTTTTTGAGCACTAGAAAATGAGCAAAACCATTTAAATATGAGTTTGTCTGAAACGACTAGAATACCCCGTCCCGTCCAGCGGTTAATCATCATTTCTGTATCATTGGATGTTACTCCAATTATTCTAGCCACACCATAATATCAGTGTTTGAATCTCCATTGCTTATTTGTCAAATACACTTGTCATTGACCATTAGAGACCAAGCAAATCCATAGCAATGTCAACATTAAATCATAGAAATATAGATATCATATTATTGTGATATATATATATACTCATTATATCCCCATTATATATATACATAACATTCCACCTGTACATAGAATATTTTTCACTTCTGAAAGATGCTTTTTTTGACTTTCTTTGAAATATCGAAATATCACCCGTACTGCATCATAAATGGACATAAATGGACATTTTTCAAATTTTCACCCTAAAATCATTTGAATTATCAAAATATCACCCGTACTGCATCATAAATGGACATAAATGGACATTTTTCAAATTTTCACCCTAAAATCATTTGAATTATCAAAATATCACCCGTACTGCAGCGTAAATGGACATAAATTGACATTTTTCAAATTTTTTTCACCCCACTAAAATCATTTGAATTATCAAAATATCACCCGTACTGCAGCATAAATGAACATAAATGTACATTTTTCAAATTTTTACCCGACTAAAACACCATAAAATCATTCAAAAAACGTGGGCACAGTCTTGCTGACCCAAGCCAAATACTGTAGCTAGGTGGTGATGAACTAACAGAAAACATACGTGAATTGTGATAATTTGCCAGGGCTTTTGTTAGGATTTGCAATGGTTTTATTCGGGTGTAAACTCTTACATGTATAAGGATATATATGTAGTTCCCTTTGGGGAGTAGCAACCCTGGATGTCTGAAGCTCCTGAACTAGAACATTCCCGTTTCGTGCGTGCGTTTCGTGCCTCTTTCTCTTTTGCTTCTTTTTCTTCCATGGCATCAATCCATGATTCGTCCACCTCCACCTGCCGGAGCTGCGGGGGGTAGGGTTTCAAACCCAATAAACCAATAATAAGTACCAATCATAACTTTGCATGTCTATATAAATATAATATGTATATATATATATATATAGTATCCATGTGAATATATTATATATAGTATTATATACATAGTGTTATATATATAGTATTATATAATTATAATACATATAAATAATATAAATATAATATATATATATAAGATAGGCTTCACCACATCCTTCCCCACGTCCGCCAAAGTCCCGCGCACCTCGGTCACACTCGCTGCCTGCGCCGTGGCCTTCTCAGCTGCTGCTTGCGCCTCCAGTGGCTTCAAGAAAGCCCACAGATCCACAAGAAATCTGGGTTTCGTACCTCAAAATTATGGGAAAACCATGGAAAACCCAATTCCAGGAATGAATCATCATTTATTCCTATGAAAGTGGCCATGAATCAGGATGTTTGTGTTTTTTGGCAGGGTACCGTCCCCCGTGCTCTGAGAAAGAGGGACCCCCATGTTGCACCAAAGATGTTCCCTATCACGGATTGTAGTGAAGGCTTTTTGCCGGGAATATGGCAACCACAAGGGGGTGCCGCACTGCTCACAGGCCACTGTGGCATAGAACTATATCCTGCTGGATGACCATTTGAGCGATTTGGTAGCTGTGAGTAAAGACTATGCTCTGCAGTACTGTTGTGGCCGTTTCCCCTGCTATCCCCAAGCTTGATTTATCCCTCACTGGCAGAGCTGGTCTAAGTTGTGGATGTAGTACTCAAATAACCTTCACAAGCCCAATCAAACAATTACGAACCCTGTTCACCGATTGCTTGTAATGACATTGGACTTCGTGATCTTGATTCTTACAATGAGAAAATGTACACCTATAACCCCGGAATCCCTCTAGGATGCCAAATTCAGCAAATATGTCGTTTTAACGATTTTAATATAGTTTTTGATACGATTGGAAAATAAGTTGATACGCTTTGAATTTGGGCTTATGATTTCGATATGGTTTTGTTATGTTTTTTATTAATATATTATATATATGGTTTGGGTTGTGGGGGAACGGAGCGCCTTTTTCAGGGTTTCCGACGGGTTGGCTTCAAGAAAGGAAACAGAAACAGCCGCGGGACAGCCTTTTTGGTGGATTTCTCGAAGGTTTTTGTGGTTTTGATATGATTTGCTTTCACGCTGTCATTCCCTTTTGCTGCCGTGCATGTTGGTTTTTGATATGCTTTCAGCATACCGCCATCAAAAGTTTCAGTGACCTTCATGGCCACTTATTCCCCTCAATGGGACGCCCATATGGCAGGGCAATTCTCAGGGAAACTCATTGATCCCAAACCGGATCTAGATCCAAATGGCAGGATCTGACCTCTTCCACGTGCCCCAGCTTGCTGCTTGACGGACTTTAGTCTGTCGACCAAAAGGCACGAAACTGTGTTATCAGCATTTTAGTCTCAGAAGATGCTATCAGAGCAGGGAGTTGGGCCAAGGCATCGCAGAGGTATAAACGGGCCACGGCTATGCTTGCCCAGCGGCCACGCAGCAAGGTCTTTTCCATAAGCCCACACTGTTGAAAGTAGGCTGTTGCCCCCCCTCGGCGGAGGCTGTAGCCTCGAAAGCCCAAGTGCGCCACTTTAAACACACGGACCAAGTGAAGGAATTCCTCTCGGAATTTGGTGCCACTATGCATCCAGATGGGGACACGGCTCAAACCTTGCCTTCGTTTGCTTTGCACAAGTTCATCCATAAGAATTGCGACAGTCTCTGAGTAGATTGTGACAGACTCTTGGATGTTGTGGCGTGTCCCGCCCTTGCTTTTGGGTAGGTGCACGATACCTTTATTGCCCTTTAGGAGCAGATCGCACGGCCTTACGGCCAGCGCCTCCCCAGTACGTAGAAAGCAGTGAAAGGCCAACGCCACCAGGCAACCTAAGTCAAAGCGCTCATGTTGAAGACAATAAGAGACCATCGCCCACATCAAGTCTTCTGGAAGAGGGGGGGCTCGGCTGGGGACTTCCATCCGTCTCCATGTGCCAAATAACCGCCAACTAAGCGGAAGCCTTTTCTTCGTGGTAGGCACGAAAAAGTGTAACCCACTAAGGGCATCAGCCACCACATTGAGCGGGGCACCTTTTGCAAATTGCAGTTGGATCCAGTCTCCCACCTGTTCATCCAGATCTTCCATGTCAGAAGCATCCTCCACAGTCTTGCAGAGAAGTGAAACAGCGTTATAGTACCTGACTTGTGTGGCCTTCGTCACACCGACGTCTCTGAGCACTATCCCTTTACGGGCATGCTGCCTTGCGCGGCGATTACGGGTGCCAGCAAAGCTTGGTAAACGTGGCATGGCTAGGCTCGACTCGCCTGATCAGTCGGATTCTCTGTGCTTTCAACATGAATTAAAATGGGGAACAAGCTGAAACCAAACTGGAGAGCGGCGATCTTTCTCATGATGGACATTAGCATCTGACTGCTGGACCTTCCCTTCGCAATCACACTCATACTCACATAGCTGTCGGTGAGATGCACAAATCTGACGTTACTCTCCAGGAGATGCTCGATTCTCCAACGGAAAGCCAGCAATATGCTCCTCATTTCCAACCTGTTTATATGTTCTGCTTTTTGCCACCTACAGGAAAATACATGCTTCCACTCCCACCAGTCTGCTTGAGCACTCTGTCGCGGGTAGGCTTTCGGATTCATGATCATGCCCGTGGTGATTCTCACGTCAGAGCCCGTGTGGTTGACACGGGTAAGCAATGCCCTAGTGAGATCACTGACCAGCTGAGGGTTACCATGTTCAGAGCCATATACCAAACCTCTGTGTAGAGGGCATTTAGCATCTGGAGCTGCGCAGAACCCTGGAGCCATTCCCATGCGCTGCGCGAGGTGGGTATAGGAGAGAGCAGGGAGGAAGCGAAAGCAAGAAGCCCAGGCGAAAAGCGCGAAGGAGTACATGCTGAAGGAATCCCCAATGAGGCTGCATCGCTGATCTTCGTATCCGACAGGATCTCGCTTGATTTCACTCGCTGACCAACAGACTGCGGTGTGCTCATACCCATATCCATGCAGAAGGTCCCTCTCTGAACTCTCAAGCAATCGCCAACCTTTCGGTGACCATATCACATATTGGCTTTTATATTGATACGGAGGGTACCTAAATTCGTCCGCTCTCCAACGCTCTTGTGCATCCAAGGGGGTTCGAGAAAGGCCGGCCGGAGCTGGAGGGGGGCGCGTTCGCTTGATAGCTTTCATGCATGTAGGAAAGACAGTATCTGCCTCAGTTGGTTCCCACTGGGAGTCTTCTCGAAGCCACTGACCTACAGTAGGGTACGCGGACCTCGCGGTTATCTCCAGATAAAACCCTTTGTCCACAATGTGCACCCCAGGTAGAAGAGGAAGGGCCCGGTTGCTCCAGCAGAAGCGAGGACGAGAAACAGGAACAGCATCCGAAGATTGCACCCTATAAGGCCTAACCCCCAAAGCTTCAGAGATTTGCTGCGCAGCCGCCCTATCCATGGAGGCCACGTTTTCCACAAAAGAAATAGATTGGGAAGTTTCGACCAAAAACCTGAAGTAATAGTTCCAACACCCTCAAAATTTCGGAAAAGAGACCGCTTTCCTCACCCTCCAAGTTCTTCCGATTGTACTTTACCGAACTCAGGTCGACGCAAGGAAAGCCTCCCCATAGATCTACCTGCTGAACATGAGGGTACCGCAATAACCATTGGTGCACCATCTTCCTGTCGATTTTTCTGACATCCCCCATCACCACTGCATGTGGCCACCTGCGCGATGTTACTCGGCACGCCGCTTTTGAGATGTCGAAGGCAATGAGAGCAGAGGGTGAGGCACCTACCAAGTCATACGCCCGGAACGCCCCTCCGATGCCGTTGAAGAGAGAGATCACTAAGATAGGCACGTCAATGCCACCTCCAGCAGAAGACCCCAAAGACCTAGAAAAGGCCTGGCCCGCAGAGGAGAGACCCGTTGCCTGCCCAACAGCTCCCCCGCGGCCCGAGGCATCCGAAGCAGTTGCGACCTCACTTACCCTGGCACCCAGGTTGGTATGAAACAAGCAAGCCCCAAAGACCAAGTACAGCAGCTCCCTACGTGCCTCCAGTACCTGTCCAGGCCCCATCCGTTTTCCACTAATCAGCTTCCACACCATCTGCACACCAGCCATCCCAGCGCGTCGAAATTGTAGAATGTGCACCCAGCGCCCCATAACAACCTGCAGCCACTTAGTAGGCATCCTGGACATGGAAAGGAGCAAGCATGTAGTGAGGATTAAGCGGTGTAACCTCTCGGCAGAGCCCCCCAGCAACTGAGCATCACCGTCCAGGAGAGCCCCCAACTCTTCAACAGCCTCCACATTATGTACCTTCTTCTTGGCAGATGAGATCACTCCTGCAGTGTTCCAGGCCTTTTCTGCCTCAGCATGTACCTGAGCCACCTCTGCAGCCTCTTCACCTTGTAGTACTTTTTCACCTGCAAAGAAGTTGTCCAAATAGACATGATACCAAGCCTTTTGCCTCTCGCGCGATTCACCAAGAACTGCGGTAAGCCACGAAGGAAGGGGGCGCGTCCTAGTAACCATTGCATCGCGGGGCAAACCATGCCTATCCAGCAAAAGTTGACTGGCTTCTTGCATAACGCTAACTGCACTGGCCCATCCCATTGGGAGGACACCGCAAGCTAAAGCATACTGAGTACCAACCACCCGACCGATGTCAGCACCATCCACAACGAGGTTAAAAGCCAGGTAAGGTCTCCACTGTGGGGGAAGCGCGAAGAGGTAGAACGCAGAGGTCATATCGCTTTGACACAGGCGTAGCGTTTCGTCTGGTCCCAGTGTGATTGACATGTACTGTGTAATACCTGGTAACTCATGGACACACCCAGTCAACTGCTCCATCACAGAGTTTGAGGGAATCAAGTTCATGATGACCCGCAAGTGAGGTCTCGAATCATCCAGAGTTGCCGATTTGGCCACACCAAACATGCCATTGAGAACTGTAGTACCCCTGTATTTGAAAACCGAGTCCAGTTCAACCCAAGAGCAAATATTCCTGCTAACCAGGAGTGCAGCAACCTTCATCCTATCAGTTTCAACAATGTGCACCTTGGCCTGCAGTTTTGGGAGTTTCTGCCCACAGTCACTGGCAACACAATCACTCGGCCTATTCAAAAATGTCCTGGTACGTCCCTTAGTCCACTCCAGAATTGGTATGCTACCTCCATGTCCCATCGGCGGCAACGCCGGGAAAACTTGGTCAAATGTGAGTGGTTCCATCTTGGCTACCTCTTCACCTGTGTATGTGACGAATCGGTTGCTAAGTTCTTTTTCCACCTGAGCTGCACTTCGCGTGATCTCAGTGTCCTTCCGGAGAATTCGCTCCACCGAGGCCTGCACATTAAAGAGCGCAGTCTCGTCAGATTTTCGCCAGCGGCCCCGGGGCGCGCCACGGCAACCATGCATCCAATTAATATAAAGCAAGGATAGCAGCATCCAGCTTTCTGTACTATGCTGCAAGGAGAAACTTGGGGCTAGGATGTCCTGGTACGTGCAACCTTTCAGTCGCACAATCAGGGCCTCCAGGCCGCCTAGTCGAAGCGGCAATGCGCCCTTCTTGAGGGTGCGATGCACGGCAGCGAGGCCAGCACCTTGAAAAACCATGGGCGGCAGGATGCAAGACAATGGTGTCAGCACCCCGCCAGCGCCATCCACTGGGGTCCCTTGTGAGACCAGCCAAGCCATCATCACGCCCAGCTGCCTCAACGACCTTCCGTCGTCGCAGCAGAGCCTGAAGAAGCCCAAGCCCTTATCTCCCTTAAGAGAGCGCGTCACCGGACAGCTCCCCTCAGGTGTCTCATCCTCCAAGGACCTCACTTCTTGGGATCCTTCTCTGCCGGCTTTGCTTCTTTGTTCTCCGGCTTCTCCTTTTGGCTGGCCCACCAATTTCCTCCTCCGGCGCCCTTGTTCCAGCTGTTTCTTCCCTGCCAGCCCCCTTCTCCTTTGCCCGGCCTGGGCCAATCCTTGCCTTTTCCTCGGCCCTTTCCTTTGTTGCCACCGCCTTTTCCGCTCCCCTGCCATGAGTCTCCTTCTTGGCGAGGTCGACGCCACTCCTCTCCTCCCTGTGCTTTGCTCACCATCTTCCCGTGTTTCCGTGCCTCCAGGAGGAGAGAGGCAGGGGCTCCCTGGGTAGCTTCGAGAGGATGAAGCTCCAGGAATTGAGCCGCTTTCCACGTGCCCTCGTTCGCCGCCGTGTGCAGGGCCAGGAAGCGGGAAGCAAGGGAATCTCCCAGCTTCCCTAACTCCCCGGCCCGCAACTCGTCCAGGCACACCGAGAGGTGGTTGAGCTCCTTCATCAGGTTGTTGTTGGGATGATATGGCCTGATCATCAGGTTGAAATATGAAGTCATCTTGACTCCACATGTGATGTCCGAGGCCTCTTTCGTCTCCACCACTGAAGTTTGATCCAGCGCATGCTTCGCGTGCTGAATCAGAAGCCTCAACACAGTGCCGGGCTTCTTTGAAGACTTTCGTTGGAGGGGAGCCAGCATTTCTGACGAGCTGGACTCGCTTGCATCCTCTTCCCTGTCCGACTCCTCCGAGCTCTCCCCCGGTGAGTCTGGGTCTCCTCCAGGAGCCGAGGCTCGAGCTCCATTTTTCTTCTTCTTCTTTCCTTTCGACTTCTTCCCTCCAAGCAGGGCCTTCACCAACTCCTTTACCTTTCCTGAGGTGGAGCTGCTTCTCCTTCCTGAATCCTTGCCAGACATCTCCTCCTTCCGGGCTTGCCTCACCTGCGCGGCTTGCGCCAGCAGCTGCAGCCCCGGGTCCTTGTCTTTCAACCTCTCCTTTGACTTCCTCTTCCTCTTCTTTTTCTTTCCTCCTCCTTCTGCAGCCCCCTTCGGCTCGCTCTTCACTTTGTCTTTGATCGCCAGTGATGTCCGGGGAGACAACGGCTCCCCCGAAAGTTCCGGCGACCCGTCCTCCTCCGCACTGTCTGAATTGTCTATGTACTCGGACACCTCGCTCTCCTCTACCGTGATGACTTCGTCTCCTTTCTTGGCGTCTTCTCCGGCTCCTCTTCCACGCAACCTTCTCAGCTTGTCTCTGAGCTTGGCTCCATCTAAGCCCGCAGTCTTTCCAGCTGTGCGAGGACCTGCACGGCGAGGCGCTGCTGCGCCAGCAGGCCTCTTCAGCACGGATCGACGGCGGCCGCCCGGAGCCTCGGTCTCCTCTGCCTCGTCGGCCTGTAGATACTCCTTGATGACCAGCTTCCCCCACGGCTTCATGTAGCTGGCCTCGAAGGTGGCACAGTTGAACCACCTTGCTGCGATGACGTGCACCACGCCCTCCATCTCCTCGTAGGTGCAGGGCATGCTGTGGCAAAGATGTAGGGGCTGCTGCTTTCTGTTGAGCAAACTGCTCAAAGTCTTGCCTGCCTCCTCGTGATTGCAGCCCACACATCTTCCACTCAGCTCCAGGCTTCCTTCGCCAGTTTCCCTTGTGGAAGTAACAAGATAGGCACCGTAATGCCCGCTGTGCAAGTGGCCCTCTACCAGGCCAGTCTCGAACTCCACAATGTCGCCAGCCCTGGGTCGGAAGCCCTCCCAGACATAATCTGGGTCCTCTAACCTTCTCCATTCTCCTTCTGCGGCGCCACGCGCACGCTCTTCTGCCATCTAGTTTCTTCTCTTTCTCTCCCCGCCAGGTGGCAAGGGGGGTCTCTCACTGATTATCCTTTCGGGAAGCCCCCGATGGATCTCCAAGTAGGGCCTTTCGGCCAGCCTGTGGACTCTCTTGTGCTTGCGTCCACCTCTTTTCTTCTTTTTCTTTTTACCCTTCTTTTCACCTTCTGCAGCTTCTTCTTCTCTCTCCTCACGCCTCTTCTTTGCCTCCTTCTCAGAGCCTTTCTTCTCGCCACGCCGCTCTTCTCTGGCGCGTTCTTCTCCTCTGTCTTCGTCCTTCACCCTCTTCAGGGGCGGGGCCTCTTCTTCCTCTCTCCTCTTCTTGGGCCGCTCCGATGAAGCTGCGCGACGACCTCTTCCGTCAGCAGCTCCCGGCAGCTCCTCCCTTTTCTTTGGCGCCCTCTCAGGCGATTGGGGGGCGGCCTTACGACTCCGCACGTCAGCGGCCCCTCCTTCCTCCTCTTCCGAGTAGCTCTCGTAGGTATAAGAGTACTCCTCGGAGTTGGCTTTGGGCTTGGCTGCACTCTTTGCCGCAAGCCCGGCTGAGGAAGTTGCGCGGCCTGAGCCAGCAACCTCCTCCCCGCCTGGCACGGCCGGAGGCCCGGTCCCGCTACCACCAGATGCGCGGCCAAGGCCAGCACTGATGGACCGCAGGGCACGGACCTCACGAGCCGCGCTCAGTGCGAGATTTTCCGCAACGGTCCGTAGACCAGCGGGGCCAGGCCACCTTGCGGTGAGTTCGGAACCTAAGATTTCCCAGGCCCCGCACCCAATGCACCAAGTATCGCCCGCAACCTTCTCGGCAATGCGACACTTGGCACACTTTGAACTCATTTAAGTTCAAAGGCTTTAAGCCCAAACAGCAGACAAACGTGCATTTGCGTTCAAGCAAACAGTCGGGACGACACTCATTGCTATGATTTTGATATGGTTTTGATACGATTTTGATACAATTTTGAATGGTTTTGATACGATTTTGGATATGGTTTCGATGGGTTGGCTTCAAATCACAATTTTGACCCACATCAAGAATCATAACTGAAACCATATCAAGATCGTATCTGATACCATATCAACATCATGCAGTAACTGCAAAACCACGCCAGAAACAATTCATAACAACACATCATAATACATCATATCTGAAACGTATCAAAATCATAAAATATATATACACATATATTGAAAACCCTTCATCCTAGAGATTTCGGATGCTGTAAATTTACACAGTTCGGCTTGTCAATGGATTGGTTTAAGGGAACATCTTAACAGGAAACCATGTTTTTGAACCCCCAAATTTGTTAGGTTTTTTCTGTAGACGTTCCATGACGTTCCTATCAACTCTGGGATCTTGACAGTTATCCGGCCTTGGCTTCTCTGCGTTGCCGCAGTCTCTGCACAGCGCTGTTGGGCCTGGCTTGAGAAACTCATGTGACTCATGTTCTTGTTGAGAATTGCTATTCCAATTTCATCCAATTTCCCCCATTTTTGGAGAATCCAGGATATCCTCCAGTAAACCAAAACATAGCCATTGAAAATGGCCATAGAAATAGTGGATTTTCCCATTAAAAATGGTGATTTTTCCATAGTTATTTTGACATAACCAGAGGGTAATCTCCTGAGATCTCCTCAGCTCCCAAGAGATGACTCTAACTGAAGTTCGCCGGAGCCACGGTGGAGGCTCGTTTCGGGCATATCGAGCCTTTTTTTTCAAGGTGCAGCACTCGGGTTTTTTTTGGTTTTTAATAGCCCCGGATAAAGGGATAAAGGGTAAGGTAGGGGCAATGGACGTGGTTTATTACCGGCTCTACCACGTTTTTTTTGGTTTCAATATCAGATCATCTCAATGTTTTTGTTGTTGGCATCAGCAAATGATGCAAAACGGCCAACTATGGCCAAAAAAATTGACATCATCTGAGGCATCCGCTTGTCGCTGAGCTGAGACGTTGGGGATGACGTAATTCATCCACTCCTTTGGATACACTGTCCAACAACGAAGGATACCCCAAACCATTGATTTACCCGACCACATGACTGGATTCTGTGTTCCCCAAAGGACTGGTATGAACAATGATGGGTTCCATGGATTTCTACCACTTCATCAACGGGGCTGAAATCTGCATCCACTGAGATGTCAAGAGTAGACAAACTTCAAACTGACCATGCTCTGCCTGCCTCGTTGCTCACGTTGACATTGATTGGATCCCAGGATATGCTCTGATCTCTTTCTCCAGCTCCCTGCCAACACTTTGCCCGGTACAATTATCTTTCACACAGTTGACAGGGTTGATTTTTTTTTCGCGATCTGCAGATGCTTTTTCATCAGGAAACCAAACGGTGGATTTTCTTACCATCCAATTTTTGTGTCTGTTTTTAAACTACCATCTGGTTATTTAACATAGCCATGGAAAATCCCTCATAAATGGAGGTTTTAATGGGAAAATCCACTATAAATGGGCCATTTTCCATGGCTACGTTAAATTACCAGATGGTATGTTTTTCCGGACAAATCGGCCCTGAAACTCACCCTTTTCGCCCTTCTTCCAGCTGCGGCCTTGGCTCCAACCCTGTCATGAGCCGCCCTGGGCACAAAGTGCCTTGGCACACGCGAGGATGGACGTGGTTTGAGAGAAAGCTTACCGGACACCCCCATTTTTGGGGGAAAAGCATGGAAAAAAAACGCGGAAAAAACATGGTATATGCATGGTCTGCGGCAGATTTTCCCTTGAGTCTTCCCAGTGACCTAAGCTCCACAAGAACTGCCGGGCTTAGATTCAGACTCCTTTGCAACATCGTTGTGCCCTCACCGGGAACTGATGCATCCAAAGTCAATGAAAGTGCAACCAAATATTGAACGAAACCTGTTTTATACCTCTCCATTTCAACGTCTACTTCGATCATTGTCATCAAAACGTGTCAGTGGTGATGCTACTCAGATGAACCTGTTGGCAAGAGAACATCCCCATGTCAGTTCGGTCAGTTGCTCGTTGACATTTGGTCCCTGTTTTGACAGAAAAGTTACTGGCCATGTTTCGGAAAAATAACATTATTTAAGACCTTGTGACAATCCAATTGAGCCATAAACGAATCCCCAAAATAAACGAATCATCCCCAAATAAACATAGATATACACATATAGAATCATATAGATATACATAGATTATCAATATAAACATAACGCCACCAAATTTACCACCCTCCCGGACTCCCTGGTCGTCCCACCTTGGCGATCCGTCTCACGTTCGCGCTTGGGCTTCACGGTCCTCGATGGGTGACTGGGTGACTGGGTCAGGTGGAGCAGCAACGAACACACAACTGGATGGACATGTTAATTATTGTTTATAGTAAGAGGAAATGATTTTTTTCAGTAACAGTGTTGATCATATCCACTTTTTTTGACTAAGTTATGAAGAATATTATCAATTATTTGTAAATCTGGTATGAAACCATCTAATCTTTGGGGGGTCTTATCATATTTTGACCCGTGAACATCTCCGTTGTGTATGTTGGAGAGTACATCCTCCTGCTCAAAAGAGTTATAGTGGTATCCATCTGAGCATTCTAGCGATGATAATCAATGATATGTTATAGAATTATATATATTATTATATATATATGATTATATATATATACATGCTATATCTTCTCCATGTTTGATAGCTCAATCATCCAGCCTGATGTCTCCGACGCCCATGTGGCTCATCACATCTCAGGTGCCCCACTTGGTGCTCTCTGTCTGCCCCATCCCGATCAGCTTCTTGGCTTTGTCGATACCAACATTTATGGCGTTCTGTATTCTGTCCTCAGAAACGTCACAACTCAGCGGCGCGGAGAATGTTGGAGAATGCTGAAGACTGCTCCCTCTACGGAGGCGCTAAGAACCCCAAGTTGAGATAAGTTGAGAACCTCGATCAAACCTCCTTTCCTGGCTTGGTTTGGCCAATCCCACATCAGCCTTCGTATGAGAACATGCAATGGCATTTTTAGTTGGGTAACTATCCCAAGCTCTAATCCCACATCAGCAAAAGTTGGTAGCGCTTTTTTTCTTCAGGTCATTTACTCAAGTTGATCATAGTTGATCTACACCTCGCTGAATCCTGCTGAATATTACCACAAACAACACCTGGTCGTTGCCAAGATGCCAAACCCGCTTCAAAGAAAAAATAGACGGGATCCAAAGCAGCATCACAGGCATCCAGGAAGGCCACTACTTTTCGCCTAGGCTATGGTAATATATGGTAATATACATTAATATGATATGAAAATGTCATGATCTTCACAGCTTTCTGAATGACCCTCTTTGAAAGCCGCTTTCGACTTGGCTCCCAGCACGGCCCAGCTGACCCGTTTAAAAGGCCTCATGAAGTTGCTAAGCAATGCTCTAAACCAAAGTGCGATGGAACACGTACGATGCTGTCTAGATTCTAGACTCTAGACCATCATGATTGAATCTGACAACCAGGATGAAGGGTTTGATTCGATCACTGAGATCTTGGCTTCCATTCTCCCACCCGCGTACAGACCACCTGAAACATTCGTAAAAAGCATCGTCACGATTCGTCGACTGCAAATGCAAAAGGTGCAAATCAACGTCCCCAGTGATACAGGTTCCATCAGGTTCCCATCCCTTCAAAAATGCTGGCCATCAAGGCTGGTGGAACAAACAGCGCGGCCCCCACCGGGCCCCCACCTGTATTGCCTCTTCCAAGTAGAGGGCGCAGTTCTCCGACCAGGTCCTGAAATCCACAGGGGTTCTGAAAAATTCAGGTCTGACCCCAACATTTGGGGATGTTTCGAGGTGTAACTCCAATGTTACAACTGTAACCCCAAGGACAAAATGGTAAAACTATGTAAAACTTGGCAGTTAGAAGATCCCACCAAAGAAATTAAAAAATATTAAAAAGGTGCCTGATCCAACAGAAACAGCATCCGCGACCTCGCTTGAGAGCCACGTCTTTTCCGCTTGGTGGGTGCAGGATCACCAACCTGGGCGGCGATGTTTGTGAATCACGATGCAACATGACCGGCTGGTAGCTTGGCCCACGGCAATGGATCCACGGATTGCACATCCAACGACCGCTACAAGCGCAATGCACAGCAAAAACCTCAAGCAACACGGCGGCATGAGATTACCGTCTGGGAGGCTAATGCTTTATCACGCTATATCACCCTCTAAGTCTCTGAAGCCAACAAGAATGTGCATGTAAAGCATGTGCCGTAGACATCAAGTTGGCAAGGTCCAGACGTAGCAGCAGCGGAAAGGAGTGTCAGAATCGAGGTTAATCCTGACAAAAAGGCACCCATTGGCGTCATTCTACAAATCCAGTTGTTCAAAGAACAGAACCCCAACATACCCCAACCCACTTGGGATCATCTGGATGTCTTTTGAGTCACAGCAAGGCCTGTAACTGACGGCACTGTTTCTGGTTGACAACCTGAGGTCAAAGGGAAAAATCAGGGGCGCTGTCGCAGGTTTCAGGTCCATCCACCCTGTGACAGCAGCCGAGCTCGCGACTAAAGCAGGACTCATCACTGTTCTGTGGAGCCTATCATTGAAATTCCACGGCCAGTCGAAGGGTGAAAACATGTGAAAACTACAAATCCTCTGGCAATCTAACCCGGAAATGCGAAATCCAAACTTCTTTAATGGGTAAATTGATATGCAAATGGGCAAGTGTAGATTTCCATTGCCAGGTTGCCAACGGGCAACCTTCCGGATGGGCATCGCTACCCAGGAGCCAGGAAAAATCCAAGCAAGTTGCAACAAGGAGACACACAGGGCAATAAATTCCCTGGATCATTTGTTTTTTTCAGAATTATATGTACATTTATAGATTCCAGACAGTTGTAACTTATGTAATCTCGAGTTATTGTGCAAACTTGATTGGAACAATAGCAAGCTAGCCACATCTTCACACTTGATTGATCCTGGGTGTTTCCAGTCATCCTATCATCCTAAATACTTTCAAAGCGTCACTGCATGGCTCAGATGAGCCTTGAAAAAACCTGGTTTGCACTCGCAAGCTTCGGAGGAGCAGGCTGCCGGTGACCTTGGTCACTTTTGCTTTCGTGGTAAACCGGTAAACCCAATCGTCAAGCAAACTAAAATTCAATGGATTGGTTTAAGGGAAAATTTACAGGAAAACCCCATATTTAATGGGAAAATCTATGGTTTCCGGTTAAGATTTTCCCTTAAATCAATCCATTGATAAACTCATCCAATTTCAACAACATCTGGGATGTTTTTCTGGAAGCCCATCTCCAGGGAGTTCTTTGGCCAAGTAGCACCGGACACTCTGGGAGAACTGGCGTGCACCTCCGTTTCTGGGCTTTAGCTGCGGAAACACATTGGGAATGTTCAAAAACATAGGAACCCCAAAACCACAGAGCTTGTTAGCTTGTTAACACATTTATCACTATCAGAGCAGCCTCTCATTCAGGGGTATCATTGCAGGTCTCGAACACTTGAGTATCTGAGTATCACTAGAACCTGCATCAACCTGCGATGACAAACATCAACAAACATCAAGTGAACCATCAAAGATCAGCAAAGATCTCCAAGAATCATCAAAAACATCAATTGAACATCAAATGAAGCGCTGCTCACCGATATTGACCTATTTCAGACTGGCCCCCCTAGGACCCCCCGCAAGTAGCAAGTTGACCTGTCCACCGTCTGCAGCTCCTGGAGAGGAGTGGCTCAACCCCTAGATCCAATTCTTGTGGTCCATTTAGAAATTGTAGAGACCGCCCAAACAGATTCAGAAAAGTTTCAACTTACTACTGTTTTGGTGGGAATTGTCTGTTCAATCATTTTACATATTTTACCGGCTACGAGAAATATGAGAAAATCTTGGGGGTTCAGGCTGAAAAGGGGTCCCCAATGTTCCCTGAAAGAAATCAGAAAATGATAAGATCTGTGTCTTTGTCAACGTATCAGCTCCTTTCGGACATGCGAGGGGTCTTCGCAGCGGCACATCTCTGTGCTGCATTGAGACGGATCTGTTTTGCACATGTACCTGTCCGCAATGGAGGAGTGGTGCTGGATGTCCTAGTCAAGTACAACCAAATTTTGGAAGTCCTGCAATAGAAAACTTAGCAGTCCCTGAAACATCATGGAAACAAATGAAAAGCAACACATACCTCCTTGCACACAGCTGGCAATCTGAAGCTTGTGGCGCACTCTTTGATGTGTAAGCATTGCTTCCCTCTGCTGGTACAAAATGTGCCCTTTGTCAAGGCCTCGTCCACAGCATGTGTTGCCAGCCATGTCTTCAGCCGTTTACATCAGAAAATTGAATAAAATTGAAACATCGCCTGAATGGGTATTGGTCGTTAAAAATTCTCACCCAGTGGGCCAGGGTGATGTAAAATCTGTAAATGGAAGATTTCAACACCCAGTGGGTTTTTTGGTGGCCAATTTTTTTTTTCATCCAACTGCGCCTCATCTTTGTTACTGCGTTGTGTAAACTTCGCAGAGCCGCCAGGAGTCCCTGACAGCATGGAGTCTGGAGGGATACATAGCAGAGCTGAATCAAATACCCAAGCATTGCTAACTGCTAAAGGATCTTCAACCGCAGAAATTTAAAGGGAAAAGCATTGCTTTCAAAAACGCATCGTCTGCACATGTGTATCTTGCATAGAAATCCATGTTCAATGGTATGGTTCTTTTCCCTTCAAGCAAAAACCGTCAACATCGCAGTGCAAAAATGGTCATCTGCGGTTGGTCCTAACATAGATCAGCATGGAATCCCTTCTACGTGCCCATCAAAACCCCATCTTTTCATATATTTTTTTCAGTTTGTTCTAATGTCATCCAATGTCCATCTCTACTCTGCCTTGACACTGTGTCAGCTGCCAATCACCATTGGACCAGGTAAGGCCTCAAAACCGGAACTTTCTGAGATTGGTTTCTCAAGATACCAGACTAACAAACAATGAAACATCACCGTGCCCTAGCCCTAGAATTGAAATATTGCTACAATCCCCAAGAAACAACCGTCAACTAGCAGATTTTCACTGGCCATGTCTCATTTGCCAAAGGATGCTATGGTGGGTAAAGCGAAGAGTCCCAAGGCACCAGCAACTGCTTCGATTCGAAGTCTTATCTAACATGGCTGCGCCATTGTATCGAAACACAGTACCTGCACACCGATGCGAAACATGACCCTTCTCCATCTTCATGAACCGTGAACTAGCGGCAAAGCTTCATTTTTACGGCATAAGAACTGCTGAATTCACAGGGTACATGTCCTGTTCTCTCCAAAGTCCAAGCAATCATTATCGCCTTCGCCTCGAGAAACAGGAATGAGTCAGAGAAGTTGAAAGCACGAAAGCCACGCACTGTTTAAGCTTGTACCTTTCTGACTGTGACCATCCGTGAGGAGCGAACGGCGCAAGGTGACATCAACATGAGGATGAACCTGAAGCGCTGCCGCTGACAACAAACAACTCATCAGGCCATCAGGCTCTGGTAATTTAACATAGCTATTGAAAATGGCCATTTATAGTGAGTTTTCCCATTAAAAATGGTGATTTTCCATAGCTACGTTAAATTACCAGAGGGTAGGCTCTGTTTGGCTCAGGTCCCCAAAAAATGGGACACTGGAGGTCACTCAGCACTCGACGCACTGCATGCATGGCTTCTCGGGAGTTCCTACATCTATCCTCCAGGCAGGACTCGCTACACCTAGGACCCCTCTCCACCATGACCTTTCTGCTTCAACGTTAAGAAAGCGCTTTGATGCCCTGACTTGTGGCCCGAAAATGTTCAAGGTGCACAGCGAAAAATCCGGGAAGCATCAAGCATGGATGTGATATATTGTGATATGATCCTTGGCCAAGATGGATCCTCACAGTCGCAAGCCTCAGATCAAGTCGCAATGGAAATCACAAATTTGATCTGCAACGACCTCTGCTCCCCAGCCCCCCAGGTGCTCGGAATCCAGCAGCTGTGGAGCATGCTGGGTCTCCTTCTACGACCGCCTCAAAGAAGTTTCGAAAGTGTCAGGCTGGCCCCAAATGAGTATGGCAACAGCAAATGGGGTACCAATGGACCCAAAAAATTGGCTTTTTTTCCGAGTTTACTATTTACATCTATTTACTATATACTGTAATTAAATGTAATTAAATGTCATTACCCAATTTATGCCAAAATGGTGGTGGATAATCTTGAGCCATGCGCAGCGAAGACAAACCTGAGGATCAGACTGGACAAAACTCTTCAACACATTGCGAACATGCTTGCGCGTCCTCCGCGCACGTGAGAGACATGTTTGTTTTTAAAATCCAACAGCTTCAAGCAGTGGGCAGATTCTTGGACAAGAAAATGCTAGCATCACCCACATCCACAGTTTGGCTTTTACCAAAAACACCAGAAGTCTTCGCACTCATCATTTCCGCTCTCCTGCGTCACCAAATCCCGCTTCATCAACGGGAACGGACAAGTGCATTCTCCGGGCCTGATTTGGGCTGATGCCAAAGATTGCAGCATGGCAGACAAACATGGATGGCGCAAAATCTCTTGGGGCGCCCACGTGCACATGCCTTGCTCCGCAGTGCACCTGCACAAACATAGCTGAGAAACAGGATGGAAACTGGTTCACAAAGTCCGAAGAATGTGCATGTGACATTTCCAAGTGATCTGGTTCGCCAATACCAAAAAGATCCGAAAAGGGTCAGCGTGCTTCAGCTGAAACTAAAATCTTAGTCGTCTTTCTGTGTGTCTGGACCTTGGAACCATTTGGCCAGACAGCCCGAAAGCGATCAGAAACAAGATCACGGACAGGCTGCAAGCCCACCTGAGCACAATGGAAGCCGGCGGTTCACCGGTGAAAGTCATCAACGCAATAATGTGTCTGCATTGATACACTGAACCAAAAAGATCAAAAAAGTGAAGATAGGCCACACAAATTAAGGGGGGACAATTCACTTGATCCCCAGCCTAGTTCTGCACGCTTGAAAGTAAAATTGAAGTCCAGATGGTCGACGCAGTTACTGAGGGGTTTCTTCCAGAGTTGTTTCTGGGAGGACGGCTGGCCCAGCCAATGATCTTCATGAGGCTGGATGTCTTCAACCTGAGTGGTATAGGGGTCAAGGCATGTTCGGCCACAAAGTTGAATTTAGCTTCAAAAAATAGGGATTTGAACAGCAAACTAAGGGGTCAATGTTTAACCCAAAAGTCCGAAAAGATCTGAAAAGTGGTTCACCAACCGAAACGATATACTGTATATAATTACTGTACAACCAGGAAAAAACGGAAAATCTGTGATATTAAATTGGGTTCAAGCAACATCAAGCAATTACACTACTACCCAAAAAAAAACAGAACGGCCCCTCATGGGGGAGTGATTTTTGCTCAAAAAATTGTCAAAATACATGTATTTACATGTATTTATAGTGTTTTGTGACAAAAGTAGGCTTAAAACCGTTATTTTAGAGCAAAAAATAGAGTTCACCTCCAAAGGCTATCATATGTTGTTATAAATCACTGGCATCTACAGACTCTTATGATAGGATTCAAGTTTTCCTGTGAGGCTTGCAAAGAACTACAAAAAATCAACACATAACACAAAACGTCTGCTGCACAGCATGCCAAAGAATGGGTAGCTGTGCATCTTGGAACAGAATATACAGTAGCAATAGGTGGCTAATGTGATAGAGGTGATGGAGAAATTCTATCGTTAGAAGCAACTGATATGATATAGCTTATTATTCATGAACTTGTTAGATTGATATCATCTCAACATACATTGTATATAGAAGCATTTGCGCTACATAAGAAGTATGGTGGGAAGGGCATACATTATGTAGGTGGATATACACAAGCACATCTAGCACTCTGGACAAGAAGTATGGTGGGAATGTTAAAACTCAAAAAGTAGGTACATATCTTGTCAGCAGGCTCATTTCAATAGTTAGAATTAGAGAGAGAGAGAGAGAAAAAAAAAAGAAAGAAAAGCCAGAGAGACAGAGAAGTGTCTCATGCTGTTGACTATTAAGATCAGGCAACCTGTGTGGTGGCATAGCTATTTAAAGATAATGGTATGTTTGTTTCTTTGAAACATCAGATCAAAATATGGCCAAGATCCAAACATACACAGTCCAGCCTGCACCCAAGGGACAGTTGCAGTCATTATTGCCAAACATAGCTGTCAAAGAACTCTTCAACTACATGTCAAATTTATCAACAAATAAAGTATAATGGTTATCACTGAAGAAGTTGGACACATTTCCTGTTTGCCATCCTGTAACTTATCTTGTAGAGCCTTGTCGGCAGATTCATTGTAAAAAGATGCTACACTCACTGTTGAACCGGCTTTTGAAATCCAAACATGTATGATCTAGCCTGCAGTCAAGAGGCAGCTGCAATTGAAATTCATCAAGGCGATATTAGCAATAGATGCAGTAACAGTAATAGAAGGTTTTAGACCCTCCAAGTGCATAAAGCATATGAAAATTCACTCCCCCACGGGGTGCCGCCCTCCAGAAAAACAACGGTGTTTTACTCGCAAAAGGCAACCAAAATCCGTGGTTCAGATCCGTGATTCATATGAACCTAAGATAATTTGACCCATCCAAATCTGAACCAAAAGTCCACGGATCTGAGTTGTTAGCAGAGTTGTCAACAACCTTGCGCGTCATGAGGCTTCAAAAAGGTTCTTCTGCAACACCTCAAACGGTCTCATCAGTCACGAGTGGGGTTTGCAGCGGACAAAAATGGCATTGATGAAACTTGATGAAACTATAGAATCATAGTCAGGGTCGCGGTATGCTCGCCTGGAGGTCATGCAAGCGGATGTTCAAAAGTCAACGCAAATGCAACATCAATTGCAACGTGGGAATGAACATGTTAACTTTATGTGAGTTCCTAGTTTTCTATTTGCCTTTTGTTGTTGCCTTCTATGGATGGACAGTTGTCTCATGCCAGCTGGGTTTTTCTTGAGGTAGTCCCGGCGCCGTCAAAGGCAGCTGCAACATATGCAATCTACAAAGCCAGAAGCTGCGAACAGTTCATCCGTGCTTTGCCTCATATGTGCATGATGCAGTTCACCTTTCTGAAAAGCAACTGCACATGTTGCTTCAACCAACATGTCAAGACATCTTAAACATTAGCCAAAGAGGGAGAAGGAAAACGACGCGCACACATCCCACTTATTTCTGCAAATATACAGGCCAAGGAATCTCGTCTCCAAGTGGGCATACCTCCGAGACCTTGGACCTGGGTTTTTGATTTTATAGTGGGTTAAAAATGCATCACAGCGCGCTCTTCCCAGCACTTTTCCGTCAGCGCCGCAACGCTGTCTTGAGTTTGATGCTCTTGCACAGGCAAAACCTCTCGATGAAATCGAAAAAAATAATCCCTACTTGGGGGCCCTTCAAACCTGAATTTGCCATTTTCGAGTACTGTTGTGCCTAACTCTATGGAAAGGCTTAAAGATGTTTGAAGCCTGTAATGGCCCGATTTTGGCACAGTGCTTTGCAGTTTTTTTTATTGTTCTTATTTTTTTACGGTTGGGTCTTTGGAGGCGGTCTCTGTGAAACCACCCGTCACAGGGACCAACCGGTGACCAACCAACCTTCAAAAAAGCTGCAAAAACTTGAAGTTCCACCTCTGACGGGGACCAACATTCAAAAAACATCAAAAAACTCGAAGTTCCAGCTCTGACAGGGACCAACCTTCCAAAAACATCTCAAAACTTGAAGTTCCACCTCTGTTAGGGACCAACCTTGAAAAAAAACACAAAAACTTGAACTTCCACCCGTCACAGGGACCAACCGGTGACCAACCTTCAAAATAACTGCAAAAACTTGAAGTTCCACCTCCGACTTGGACCCAACATCGAGAAAAATCAAGTAACTTGAAGTTACGTATGTATGTACGTATGTACATATGCATGCATTTATGTATGTGCGCAGTGTTGAAGCAACACCTTTCTATAAAATCGACAAATTAGTCTCTATTTGGGGGCCCTTCAAACCTAACGTGTTCCCTTATGGAGTCCTGCTCTGTCACGCTATGGAAAGGGGCAAGGATGTTTGAGGCATGTAGTGACCAACTTTTGGAGTTTAGACGGCAAGGAGGCCAGAAACACACGAACAGAGCCCAGTTTCTTGAACTTTCTGATTTTATAGAGACAATGGGTCCATATTGAATCCGGGTACATGCATGTAGGTACCCAGTGATTTCTGTCCCACTTTCAAGCTGTGGAAAGGCAACGTCGACACGCGCAGTGCTGAAGCAAACCTCTCTATAAAATCGACAAATTAGTCTCTATTTGGATGTTATTCAAACCTGATTTTTCCATTTTGGAATCTTGTTGTGTCTCACGATATGGAAAGGGGCAAGGATGTTTGAGGCATATACCGGTCAAATTCTGAAGTTTGAATACAAGGCAGGGAGGCGGAAAATATATGCACAGAGTCCAGTTTCCGGAAGATTTTGAGTTTTTTTTGTCTTCAAGTGTTTAAATGTTTTTGGAAGGTTGGTCCCTGTCAGAGCTGGAACTTCGAGTTTTTGGAAGTTTTTTGAATGTTGGTCCCCGTCAGAGGTGGAACTTCGGTTGGTCACCGGTTGGTCCCTGTGACGGGTGGAACTTCAAGTTTTTGGATGTTTTTGGAAGGTTGGTCCCTGTCAGAGCTGGAGCTTCGAGTTTCAAACAGGTTCCAAAGTGGTTTTGAACTGTGTTCAAAATGAGGTTTTGATGGAGGTTTAGAGATTACAAAAAAATGAATCTTGCTTGGTCCATGACCCTTTGATTCTGTCAAGAGCTTCCCAAATTGCGATTGCGTATAACACCAAATTAACGGGATGCGGCGATTGCGTATAACACCAAATTTGTATCAAAAACCTCCCCTCTGTAAAGCCATAATCTTTGGACCCACAACTCAGAACCATGCAAAAAAATGCATCTCTATAAAATTAGGTTCCTGGGTCCCCCTGAATTGGTCATAAGCCACATCTTGGCTTACAAATGGTTTACAAATAGTCTTCTATAAAATATAAAATCAGATTTTTTTTTTCGTAAATGTTTGAACGCTTTGTGTACACACCTGGGCTGACTAAAATTATCGTTCTAAACGATACCTGGGTATACCCATTTTATAGAGGAAATGTAAAGGGGTATTTTGAATGTATATATACCTTGAACCTAAGCGCACCATCCAAGCTTGCATGGGCAAGTCACCTTCAATCTTTGTATTGCTTTGTTCATGTGCACAACTCTCGCCATCCGTGTAACAAATCATGAAGCAATTACACCCTGGTGCAACTTAGGAGCTCTGATGGTTTGGGTCGATAGTGGTGGGAGCGATCGTTTTGCGAATGCGTCTTGCCTCTTGAAGGGGGCTAGCAATCTAGTTCCCCCCAACTGATGCTGCACTCGCAGCTTAAATCAGCTGTACCTCTTGTCACGGCGCCTATTGCACCGTTGAAATTGTCGCGCCTTAGGCGCCTTTGGATGCAGATATCCCAGTATAGTATCCTTAAGAGCTAAGAGTTTGCAGATTCTGTTTCCACATCCAGTCCATTCTGCTGCCTTTGAACGCGAACAACTTCTGCGAAATACAAAGCACGTGTTTAGCTCTTGACTGGACGATACCCAAATATCCAGAATAAGAATGCTCGAAATACTTCCAATTCGGGCCGGCGTTCCGACGCCCAAAAGCGCCTTCAGCCGTTGCCCTGGATACGGAAAAAACAGTGGAGACTCCTGCAGCCTCATATTCGGCTCATTTGTCTGAAAGTAAATTTCTCCCTGTCGTCACCGGAAGCATCCTGGACTGTGAACTCAACGTAAACCATGAGATAGCAATTAGAAACCACCTCATGAGTCTCATTGGTTCTGATGATCACTTTGCCATCCTTTTTGCTTTTGATCACGTAGGAACTACCTGCCTTCTCAACCGTCCAAATCTGGCAAATCTGCCAGCCGTCGTTGGGTTGAACCGTGTTATGCTGTACCAAGTGCCAAGGACAGCCACTGTGATTGGTCACGGCCCTGTCAGAATTGGTCACGGCCCTGTCAGAGCAGTGCCTGAGATAGATTTTGAACTCACGATTGCCTTCTCCTGTATCAAAAAATCGAAATTTCTGATCATTATTCCACTCGCGGTTGGGATCATCGGGATCGCGACAATCATCCAAAACCTCCATGAAACTGCCATCAAAAGCTTTGATGCGGTACCAATGCTTGTCATCGAAAGGCAATTTGAATGTAGCCTTGCCTGGAAGTGTCATTTCTCCTGAAAAACTGCACTCTTCTTCGGAGGTCACCAGCGTTGCATTCAAATCACCGGTGGGAATGCGAGATTCACACTGGAGGTCGAGAACATAGAGCTGGACTCCGGCGTCGCGCTCCATCGGACGTTTAACAGCCGTCACATATTCCTGGCGATCCGTGAATTTCAGACAGATCTCCTGGGCAGGGTCAAAGGCTTCTGGTGCGTTCTTAAGAAACAACCTTGTGCGCTCACCAGCCCAACTACCGAAAGGCCGCCAGGCCATGTCCACTTTCATGGTGGTGAACGTGCGTTCTCTTTTTTCCTCTGCCTGGCGCACAAGAACTGCTGAACAATGGAAACACTCCTCACACCTCGATTGCCACTGCTCTTTGATCTTATGTTACTTGTCTGTTTCATGTATGTACTGTATCACATGTTGTATGACTTATATATCCATATCATATACTTTTATACAAGTAGTGCCCGGGCAAGCCGGGGGCGAAAGTTTCACATTTGAAACGTTTATAGCCTATAGAGCGGAGCAAAGGCTGTGCCTATAGGTGACCGGCAAGCCTCCTGCGTTTCATGGCAACAGCCTCTTGACTTGTCAATCTGATGTCATGTTTTTCGAATGCTGAATTTTTCTCATTTCATCTGATCTCATCGCATTGCAGTTTCTCTTGGAAATTGTTCACTGCATCCCACTGTCACCGCAGTCTGTGTCATCCGATCTCATCTCGACTCATCTCATGTCTTCTGAGTTTTCTTCACCTCATCTCAGCTCTTCGCAGCTCATGTCATCTTATCTCAGTTCATTTGATGTCATTTCATTTTCTTCGAAATCAACTTGCTCTCTTGTGGTGTTTCATGGTTGTTCATCTCATGTCAAAACATCTGATCTCTCACCAGTTTTTCTTACGCTTGCCATTCAATCTCTTTCCCAAACCCAACAAGACACCGCAGCAGCTTTTCCATGCAGGCGACACTAAAAGTTCAGAGTAGTTGTTAGCGCGGTCTCTGATCCGTGGGTGTTTGGGATAGACACAGCAAGCCTTCACGCAGAAAAGTTCCTACACAGAAAGGTTTTTACACAGCGAAGCTTTTACACACAGCAAGTTTTCACACAGAGAATCCTTTACACACAGATTTTTTTTACACGCAACAATTTTTTACACACGGCCAGCTTTGACACAGAAAGGCCCTTACACAGAGAAGCCCTTACACAGAGAAGTTTTTACACAGAAGCCCTTACACGGAGAAGAATTTACACACAGAAGCTTTTGCGCGCAGCAAACTTTTACACACAGCAAATTTTTACACAGAGAAGCATTTACACACAGAAGTTTTTACACACCGCCACCTTTTACACACAGAAAATTTTACACACAGCACATTTTCACACAGGGAAGTTTTTACACCCCGGCAACGGAAGATGCTTTTGGAGTTCCTCCCGCGACAGGTCCTGGCACCGCAAAAAATGGCGTCTTCGCTTTTGGAGGTGAGGTCAAAGGCCATAATGATGTGGATGGTATAGCCAATGGTGATGCAGGCATTGGAACTACCGGTGCAGCCGAAGATGTAGATGTTGTCGTCACTCTCTTGTTCGCATCCTGTAGTTCGACGTACAAAGATGCGTTCTTCATGACTGCTAAATCACGTTCTTTCAGTTCCATATGATACACCATTTTCCATCTCTCAGCCTCATCTTCTCTGCATCCAGGACCGCCTCCGCCAGATTAGGGTTGGAGGCGACGTTTTCCTGAAGCTGATGTAGATCGAACGTAGCCTTACATAGTTCGGCATGAAGATCTTCGATCACCTTCTGGTTCGCAGAGTTCCCATCGTCCTGAACTCGAGCATGGATCATTTCAGCGATCCTCGATCTGACCCCGTTGTTGCTCTCGATCAGGTGAACATTCTCGTCCTTGAGCTCATCGATAATGTTCTCAAGTCTCGCCTCCCTGCCGGTCCACAACTGTTTCTCGGTGATTGCCGTCTTCTTCGTCATAACTAAATCCTCCTCGGCATTCTCCAGTTAGTGGTGTCCCTCTCGGCGATCTCTGCTTCGTTGATCTCCTTCATCTGGTACATCTCAAATTCCATGTTGTCCTTCATCTGACTCATCTCAGTCTTCAGATTATCGATGTCCCATCCAGCGAGCATCAATCTGTGCCCCGCATCTGTAGTGTCTCTCTCGATGCGTCCAATCAGCTCTTCGATGCGCTCATTTCTCTGCACGATGATCTCATCCTTCTTCATCATACTTTCTGACATCTCATTGATGGCCACTTGCAGCTCGGCTACTCTTTCATCACGTACTGCTACCGCATGTCTTCCATGTTCCATGACCATCTCGCTGTTCATGCTCATCTCTTGGGAATTCTTCTCCAGCGTCACCGCCAGAGACTCCATCTCTTCCTTGTTCGCTTTCTCCCTCTCGTTGACGTACTGAACACATGCCTCACGTAGTTGTTGACCATGTTGTCGGAACTGCTCAGATGCACTCTCAGATTGTTCTTGTTGTTCTTGAATCTGACGTACAGCACTCTCCAGTTCGGCATGATAGCGTTCCCTCATTGCGATGCTCTCCTGAATGATGTGGGCAGTCCCTTGTTCCGCAAGTTCTCCGCGTCTGCCAAGTTCAATGATCCTCATTGCCGAACCTTCGTCCATCAGGTGTGCCTCGGCAAGCGCTAGGGATTGCTCATTCAACATGTTGGAGGCATTCGCTAGGGAAGCTTTCATGTACTCCATTTCCGTGTTGACATGTTCTTGATATTCTTCAAAATGTTGGTGCGAATAGACCTCTACATTGTGAATCATCTGATCTCGATGGTTGAGAACATCCTGAAACAATTTCAATCTGCCCTCAAGTTCAGTCCTTGCTTGTTCACTTCGATCCAGCTTCTCGTTGCTGTGTTGTAGTTGTCGTCGAAGGCGAAGTTCACTCTCGTTCCTGGTAGCGCTGCCAGAAGACTTTCGCTTGGATGAGGCAGCCGTCCGGCATACCTCACCCTCGCGTGCGGCCTCAGTCGTCTGGCTGGGGCCGCCGTTGTCTTCAATCGCAGACATTGATCGACGAGGTCTTGCAGATCTCGCCGAATTCGACCGCGTGGAACTTCCTCTCAAAGCTGGCACGTTGCTAACCATTGTGAAGTTGCTTGTAGACGTGCCACTGCTTGGTGCTACATATGACAGAGTACCACCACTGCCGCTTTCAGCAGAACCCGGCGTGTCATTGATTGCCGCCGGTGCCGCAAAAGACATGTGCGTCTCATTGCTGCTTGGCTGTGGTTGTTGAGACATTGCTCCGGTCTCTCTGCAATGGGCACTTCCGTTTACCACGGTCCAATGACTCGTAGTAGGTCAAGTAGGGCAGGATCCCTTAGTCAATGTCCAAACCAATGATCGTTCCGCCCACCGGAGTGGGGTTCGACCAACCAGGTAGGTTCACTCGTTTGTCACCTTGCCGTCGGGCTCAGCCGTGTTGTGGAACCACCGTACGCCCAGGGTTGAGCGTACGGCTGATAACCTGTGAATGGGTTCAACCCCAATATAGTGTCGTGTAAATGCTAAAGGGAACGATCTTGTAGTTGTTCTCCTCAACCTCCCAGTGCAGCAAAGCGCGGTCTATTTTCTGCTGCTGTGTCGGACGCTTGAGCCAGATTTGGCGGTCAGCTATCGGCTCAGATTGTGTCCTACCATGGATGACATATGACCTACGCATCATTCACAATATATATATATATATATGTCAAAAACCATGTTTTGCAACACTGTCAAGGCTGGAGAGTCTCCTAGGTGATCGTTAACCGTTAACCTTTGGGTTGGATTTTTGATGTAAAAAGGTTTGAGGGATGGAGGCCCCTCAGTGATTGGTCTTAGGGCTGGATTGTTCAATTTAATTTTGGGAAAAAAAAAACGCGTGAAGACAACCAGCCCTCACCAAGCATTTGTTCAAACACATTGTTGCCCACCACTAGTTTTCCCCCAAAAAAACACCCAGTCTTGACATTTTGTGTGTATGAATTTGTTGTTGCGCAGCATTCAAACTTATTTCAAAAAATGCCCTTCAAATTCGGGCTTTGCCAATCATTTGAGGTTTTGTAGTCTCCAAATTTAATTAAAAAACAACCAGCCCGTGGCTGAACAATCACTCCGGGACCTGCAACTGGTCACTAAGACATAACTTTTGCAATCAAATTGCAGAAAAATAAGCAAACACACCAATTGTGTTTTTTGAAATTCAAAAACTGGGTGGCAGCCAAAAGAAAAACACACACACTTGCTCAGAAACATCATTGCGAATTTCTGTTGTGGAATGCATCTCACGTGCAAAAACATTCCAGTAAAGCCTGACAGGATCGATTTTGAAGATTAGACAAGAGAAACAGTAAGAAGGAAATCTTTCTACGTCCTTGTTCGAAGGTTCATCAGGTTCTGATGCAGCTCTTTCAGATTTCGAAAACCGTACAGGTACGGAAAACAGAATGGTTTGGTTTGAAGCGAATTGACAAATGAAAATTCGACGTGGAGGTTCTAGGGTTGAGCCTCTTCCCATTTCTGAAAAAAAGGATGCAGGTACGTGGAGTTGATCAGACTCCATATCAGTCGTGGCATAGCCCTCTTCGTTGGGCAACCAGCTATGCGCACGAGGTTGCCCCCCTGCTTTAAAATGGATTTGGATTTGGAAACTGCATTTGAAATTGATAAAGCATCACGATGTGAAATAACGAAAACCTAACAAACAGAAAAAAACGACATCATCAGGTAGAAGTTTTACATCTTTTCAGATGTTCCACACACACGCCTCGCTGCCGCGAGGCTGACTTTTTAGCAACTGCGGAGACGGTGTTGTAGCTCTTATATGGACCCTGAAGCAGGAATAGCGATTATCGCGAATCAAAATACAGGGAAGAACTATGCAACTGAATTATCCGAGTTGCTCAGATCACCTTTCAGCACAAGGATCTTAGGCAGAGTCACTGATATCGGAGAGCGCCTCCATCTGTGCCGCTTGCTGCGACAACTGGTCAGTGGTCTGGGCCAAGTGGCTGGCAAGGTGGGCCAAGTCTGCTGCCGAGAAGATTTGAATCGGATCCGCGTGTGGATTCTCCAATTTCTCCAATATGGCCAAGTTTGCCTCTCTGTCATTGTTGAGAATGTTCCAAAGAACGGTGGCCAACTGGTGGATCTGGATCGGTGCCGAGGCTTGTCCGGCATGGACAACCACGGATTCCGTGTCGTCCACATCTGATCCCGACTGAGCTTCTTGGCTTCCTCCTGCTTGGTTCGCTGTTGGACTCGTGCGGGTGATAATGCCATGTT